TGGCTCACACCTGTAATCCCAGCACTTTGGGAAGTCAAGGTGGGCGGTTCACGAGGTCAGGAAATCGAGACCATCCTAGCTAACACGGTGGAACCCCATCTCTACTAAAAATACAAAAAATTAGCCGGGCGCAGTGGCGGCGCCTGTAATTCCAGCTACTCGGGAGGCTGAGGCAGGAGAATGGCGTGAACCCGGGAGGCGGAGTGAGCCGAGATCGCGCCACTGCACTCCAGCCTGGGCGGCACAGCAAGACTCCGACTCAAAAAATAAAAAAGGAAAATGAGGCTTCGAGCAGCAGACACTTGTGATGTCTCAAGTCCTTACAGGTACTTTACTTACAAGATCCCAAGATATCTGTCATGCTGTGTGAAATATCTCTTCACTCTTGCTGTTGAGGAATGACACAAAAAGTGACGCCTTCCCAGGGAATATATTTGAACCTCCAGGCACTTCCAGTGTAAACCACGCCTCCCTAACTCCCAGTCATCAGGAGAGGGGAACAGGCACGACATGATCATGTGTCCAGAATCCTTCTCAGTAGGATTACTAAGAAGAGCCGTGAGACTGATCGATCTGCGAATCTTACCTGCTCTGACATTCTAGAATTTTATACATTCAATGCACATCAAGTGGTTACACAAATGAACCAACAAGATCATTGCTGAATGACTAATGGTGTAGGGGGAAGAGCCAACATTTATTAGGTGTCTAGTAGCCAGGCACTATGCTAGCTTCTTTACATAGTTAATCCTTACAAAAATTCTACAAAAGAGAGGCATTAGGACTGTTCACCAAGAAGGGAACTGAGGCTCTGAGAAACTAAGCAACTTAAACAAGGTCACACAGTTAGTATGTAGCAAAAGAGATTTCAACCCATCTACCTGACTCCAAAACTCATGCTCTTTCCAGTGTAGCGGGGTCTTCTGTGTCTGGAATTGGTAAAGCAATAAATTACAGGGAAAGACATCAAGAGGGTAATGACCACAAAGTGGAAAAAACTCAATAAGGTGACTCCTAAAGTCTGGTCATTTGTATTAGAGAACAGCTGATGAAGTAAAGGCTCCACAGCTGTCAGAGAGGGCAAAGGTCATCCAGGCAACGCCACCAGCTCCTGTATGTGGCCACTAAGTCCATTTGTTCTAAGACAGAATGTGTGTTTTTCCAGACTTACTCTTCCCTCCCTTATTTTCTGTTAATCTTAGAAAAGACAAGTCAATGACAATAATAATTTCTACATTACCAACTTTTATTATCCTCTACTATCATCATGAACCAGGCTAAGCACTTCTAATGAACTATCTCATTTACTCTCCATATCAACCCTGTGAAATAGACATGATTACCCCCACTTTGCAACTGAGAATATCGAGGCTTAGAGAAGTTAATTGATAAGTGGTAGAGCACAGGATTGTCCAGGCAGTCTAATTTCTGACTCAGGAGCCTGTACTCTCCTGTAATACCTTCTAGGATAAGCTTACATTGCAGTCTTTCTGTCCCGCTACTAGACCGGAACACCCACTTGCTCTAAAATGTTCTCTCTCTCTTACACACACCCTTCCCTTTCTTGCTCTGCTTTTTCTCCCTTTCCCACTTTCTGTCCACGGAAAAGATGCTGAAGTCTTACCTGCAGAGTACTTTCTTCTGAATCATAGACAGCTGAGATGGCCCCACCCCTGCCATTTCCAGGGCACCCATGGCAAATCCAAAAGTAATCTGCCAGGCCATTCACCTTCTGTTATTCACGAGAAGACTTCCCAGGCCCGTTCCATTCCTCTAAGCCACCCTATTTCTTCTCCATCACTGAAAGCAAGTGGTCACCCCAGCTCTGCCCTAGGGGGTCTTCAGTAGCTTTGTCTATAATGTCCCTGTGATTGTGTTGTTTTTCTGAACCATTTAGCTTTGGATTTCACTTTAAAGCCTTGAATCTTGTATTCCAATTACCCTGCAGTCTATTTGAAGTATTTCACCTGGGGTGATTAAGGATGGTGGTACATCTGGGGCCTCACCCTGTAGAAGTGATTGAAGCCTAAACAAGAAGACATTTGGCAAGCCTGGGCTTCTCCAGACTTACAAATTTGCAACATCCAGGCAGCCTGGAGAGTCACCGGGCAGCTGTGGGCAAGCAGAGCCCTCACTTGGGAGAAGGCACTGAGTAGGGGAGATGCGAGACTGAGAGCTGTTGGGCATGAAATACCTGCAGAGGAGGAAAAGAAGCTCCTAGGCAAGGAGGGCTGGAGCCACAGTGGCCACAGACACCACAACCAAGGTGCGGGGAATCCGGAATTAATGTAAGTTGATATGTGAGGACAGCATTAAAACCACAGTCAAGGTGGAGAATAGTAGGGAGAATGTGGTAAGCTAAGCAAACAGCTAGTCTAATAGCTGTGTGCACAAACATGTATCCCCTCACATGCACATAGACACATAACACGTGCCAACCCTGCCCCGCAGCATTCCTTTGATTCCAGTTTTCTTATGTCACACATGAGTGACAACCAATTCTTGCAGAAAGGACCCCAACCTCACTTGCTCAGTCTGCTCTGCAGTACTGCCAGCCTTCCCCTACCTCTCCCTGCTTCTCTGCTCAAAGCAACCCACTTTTCTACCTCCTGCCCTATTGCATGGTGACCAGCATTGGCCTAAGCTTCAGACAGTATCCCGGGGAATATCAGATATCCTCTCCAACCTATAACAAATCTCCCTGGACTTCGGTCCTCAGTTGCCATTCCATGGAGGGGGCCATCAGACCCTCTCAGGGCCATTTGGAAACTGCGAAGCACCTGCTTTCCTATTGACAGCTCTCCTCTTCGTCCCTACCTACTGCATGACCTGCCTACAGTTCTTCCTGCTACCTGTCAGTCCTGCTGCCCTTGGAGTAGACCTGCTCTCTTATTTCCTTTAAAGCCCCACTTTTCTACCCTGGGGCTGGGACTCTTAGTGTCTGTCTTGTTCCCCTGGAGCTGACTGGTCCATGGTCCTGGCTCAGGCGACCACACTCATCCCTCCGGGCCTCCTTCTTCCTTTAGAGGAGTCTAACACACAGGTCTGGGGCAGGTGGTATATACCCCCTCCGACTGTGTACATCAGGGACCATTTCTCCCTACACTCCTCCACACTTGCTGTGAGCACCTCTGAGGAGTAAAGTTTTACCTTTGTGTTCTTTGTAAAAAGGGAGAGAGGCAAGTAAAGCATCCTCAGTAGCATGAAGACAGGAAAGCTCTCAGAATCCTCACCTCCCACAGACCTCCTGGCTTCTTCCTCCTCCTACACACTTCCTGCACTTGGTGGGGTGGGGGGGACTCATCCGGGTCCCTTCCATTCACACTGACTCTCCATCCTTCTGTCCCACACAGCCCTGAATCATCTTCCTCCTCCTCCTCCTCACCTCCTCCCTCACCTTCTCTTCATCCTCATCAGCTAGTCACCATTATGACTCAACAGCACACTCACGGTGTAGGTGAAGGAAACTAAGCCTCCTGGCCCAAGAATGGGTTGGCAGACTAGTTAAGGCTCTATGCTTTGCTGTCAGAGAGCCCAGGTTTGAGTTCTGGCTCTGCTCTCTCATGGACACAAGTAACCATGGGCAAGCTTCAGTTTCATCATCTTTGAAATGGGAAAATTAAAAAACGTTTACCTCATAGGATTGTTAGCAGAATTGACTGGCATTATGCAATAAAGCACTTGTAAAATGCCTAGTGCATAGGAAAACATCAACAAGCAGTAGCTATCTGTATTAGCTGGAAAAAAAAAATCATCATAGTTTTGATCTAGGAAGCAGGGATCAAATCTCAACTGTGAAATTACATGAGAATTTGGAGGCTCAACAGCAAGTTCCATAGACTGGCCTGGCCTGCAGTTTTGAATATCTGAATTTCTAAATAATGGCAAACTACAAGGTAACTAATTAGCATCTTAGGATTTTAACCACTCACCTAGGAGGGAAACACACATTGCTAGCTCTTTGCATGACGCCGAGGATTAAGGAGGCCATTGTGTCTTTATAAATCATAGTGTGATGAGTAGTAGAATGGTCTTCTGCTAGAGATCTATTTCAACCGTCATCTGAATACCCTTTAAAATACTATGTCTCTCCATCGGGGAAAGCTACCCCATTCTCACTGTGAACAGAGCCATTTGGGTCACTGCCCTGGGGATCCTGTTGGTTGGGCCACTAATGACAGCCAGTGACAAAGAGCATGTGAGAGCAGAGTCAATCTGACAGTCCTACTCTGACTAGTTGGTATCTCCTGGTGCCTCAGGCAGGCCTAGTGGAGAAGGAACACAGTCACATGGTTGGGTATACACATTTTCGCTAAAGGGGACACTAACGACACCATGACCGAAGTTCCCAAATTCTCTGGCAGCGTCTCCGTTCACATCATGTCCCCCAGTAATGGCAGATTATTAAATATGTCCAGGAATGTGATTTGATTTTTATGCTTTTGTAAGATTTCCTCACCAAGTCAATTCACAAATGTGAAGGAAAAAAGCACTTGTCACACTGTGAGCAGAATGCATGTCCGGAAGGCAGAGTCACCAAGCTCCCAGATCATGGTTTAACAAAAGGTGGGAGTGCTATCTATTTCTCAGATTGACATAATAGCCCCAGATGGCTTTGTCTATAAGCTGCAGCTGAGCGAGAAGCACACTGGCCCCCTGCCTCCCTTCTCCTCTGGTAACTGTGATTTGTTATGGGAGGGGTAAGAGGAATAAAAGGCTTGTATGTCACCATTAGCTTCCTCTAGCTTGAGGCTTCTGTTTACATTAGTTGCTGAGATCCCCTCTGTGTCCTCAGGGTGTGTGTTCCATTAGAAGAGAGTAGCTACTTTTAATAGAACATAACAATGGGGAAGGCAAACAGTGCCCCCAGGATAACAGCTGAGAGCATCTTACACACATCAACAGGCACAGGGAAGAACACTGTGAGCAGTTTTTACAAGGAGATGGGGCAAAGGAGAGAAGAAGAAAAGAACAATCCCAAAAGCGGGAGGGCTGTTTACCTTCCCATAGATCCACCGTCTGAAAGATGTCAGTGGTTCTGACACCATAGGTCTCCGCAGCTTTTAGGAACTGGGAGATTTGCTCCATCTGTTTAAAAGCCATCTTTGACTCTGAGATCTTCGGTATGGGCTCTTGTCCTGGTGGGTATAAACTATTTATCAGCTTGCACAGGACCTGAAGTGGGAGGGGAGAGACAGAATCAATGTTTCCGTTTGTATTTACAGGTCAAGAATGAGAAGTGAATCCTGCTCACATGGGGCACTGCTCATCCAGTTTGGGCAGGAGCAAGTCATGGGCCCCAGGAAGGCATGGGCTCAGGGCTGTGTAGCCAGGCACCTGTACCAAGCCCCAAAGACCCAGATGACCCCATTCCTAGCGCTGCTCCTTACTACAGAGATTCCTGTAGCCCAGGAGCGCCATTCCCTCCCTGTTCCTCCCTTCCTTTTTCTGGAGGAGGGAAAGAATGTTTACAGATAGGGAATGACGTGACGTGATGAGGACGTGATTCCAGACTTTCAAAGGAGGAATGACTTAGTGGCTCCTGAGGTTGGCAGAGCTCAAATGATACAGTCTAATATTATTTCTTCTATCAAAAGGCAAATAAGAAGCAGGCTGCAATTTACTCGTCCCATATATTTTAATAATGTGTAAAAGAAGTGAATGTGGTACCTTTTTCCCAGATATATATATAACCCAAGCTCTGGGCAACCCAGCAGAAGCACTGGATAGCAGTTATGTAACAGTAAATCACAGGCTGCAGGAAAGGATGGGCTTGTTTGGATCACAGAGCCTGCGGCCCTCAAACCCTCAAACACACACAAGCATCTGGTCAGAAAGGCAGTTAACAAGTAAGGACTCCCTTTAGTTTCATGAGGACCCATCCACTCAATAAACAGACACTGAACACTTCCAGGGGGCATGGCTCCCACAAGAATGTGAAGGTGGCTAGTCCCCCTCCTCCCTCCTTTGTTTTACTGTGTAACCAACGCGTTCCCCTAAGGAAAGAAATGGCCCCAGAAGAGCTGATGCACTAGGAAGGCTGGGGAAATCACAAGGACATACTTATCTCTATTCTTATTAGAAAAATCAAAAGGGCTTCGAATTTGCCAACTCAGAAGGGAGATGTGATGCTAGGGTGAGTGGAGAACCCCCAAGCTAGCTAGGGAATAGTGCATGGAGCCCAAATCTTCCAATCCTGAAGAAATAAAGGCATTCCCATCCCTCCTGGTGAGACACAGAGCTTGCCAACAGCAGCTCTTCCCGCAGCCTTATGTTAAAAGAAAGGGCCCTGGAGGGTTTCCCTGCCCACCGCCCCAGCAACCGAGATCGCTGCCGGCCTTACCGTCCCGTCCATTAACCATTTCTGAAAATGGGCCCTGCCGGGGGGCGGGTGCTCTATGTCCTCTGCGCACTGCAGGATGATCCAGTCCACCAGCTTGTTCTCCAGGTCCGCATCATACTTCTGCTCGATCTTCTCCTGCACCTCTCGGCTTAAGCCATAGCTCGGGCCCCTGTTAGCCATCTCTGGAAAGAAGAGAGGACACGCGCGGCATCCACACAATAGCAGCAGCAGGCTCTGGCTCCCTGCAGACGGGGCTGGGATATGGCTGGGCAGCCTGGCCCAGCAGCAGCAAAGCGGGCAGAAAGCCGGGCGTGGTTTAAATCAAGGAGCCAATGAAGCCAATGGGGTTTCACCTACAAACGGGAAAGAAAAGCACAGCCACGCGCCAGTAACTCTAGAATAAAGCTCCGGCCGGTTCAGGGGGGCTGGAACCCCCCTCTCGATCCCGCCTATCAATGAGACGAGATGATATAACATGGGCTCACAATTAAGTATGAACCCCCAGGCAGCAAGGGGGATGGGTGGCGGACGTTTCCTCCCCCTTCTCAGTAGCACTTTGCAAAGGCAGAAACCGTGAGATCGGGAAGAGCAGGTAATTAGCAGGCAGGGAGGAAGCCTCCTTTCATGTTGAACTGCTGCTGCTGCCTCGTGCCTGGAAGAATGGCACATTGATTTGATTTTCTCGTGGCTGAGATGGCTCAAGGAGGGCCGTTGCTAAGAGCCCTCCAAAAAGCCAGCCCTCTCCCGTGTCAGTCAACCCGCCTGCCTCCCTCCCGCTGAGAGCCTCTTTCTCATCTGCACAATTCTTTCCCTCTTCTGGGGAGACAGCCGATTGTCTACGATTGTCTACGAGGCCGGCAGCTGCACAAGGGGATGAGGGCTTGTGGGAGGGTCCGTTCTACCGACTGTCCATCTGTCAGGAATAGCCAAGCCAGTTTCCCCCTGCCCTGAGGTAACAACTGTCTGGCAGGACGGGAGAGGAGGGACTGAGAGCTGCTATCATTTACTTGTTCAGCTGCCAGCCCAACTTCACCCAGAAACTTTCATCCTGAAACTGTTGTGCCTCCGTTTGACTAATTCAAGGGAGATATTTTTTTCATGCTACGCTTAATTGAAAGACACTAAGAGCAAGTTTTCTAAATTATTGTTATAATTATTACTATGTGTTTTTAGATAGAAGTCTCCTTCTGTTGCCCAGGTTGAAGTGGCACAATCTCGGCTGGCTGCAACCTCTGCCTCCCGGGTTCAAGCGATTCTCTTGCCTCAGCCTCCCAAGTAGCTGGGATTACAGGTGCGTGCCACCACGCCTGGCTAATTTTTGTATTTTTAGCAGAGGTGGGGTTTTTGCCACGTTGGTCAGGCTGGTCTTGAACTCCTGACCTCAGGTGATCTGACCGCCTCCACCTCCCAAAGTTCTGGGATTACAGGCATGAGCCATTGTGCCCGGCAAGTTTCATGAATTAAACAAAACTCAATTACTAAGAACTCTTAGACTGAAAGGTTTCGATAGAATGTAAAGACTTCATCTGAAGTAAAGACCGTGAAGGCACAACTGACATACTGTCAGTAGTAACTGAATATTTCTCATGAGCAAACAAGCACTCAGGAGAAACCATTAGATCTAAGTTGGCCCCAAATTTTTATAACAGCTAAAGGACTTGGCAGTTTGTCCCCCTAGACTGTAAGCCACTTGTGGGTAAAGACTGAGTCTCATTGGTGTTGTGTAATTCTCTGGGTGTTTTTCATGAGAAAAAAATCCCACATTTTTTTTTCTTTGGTTCATTTCTTCATTCAACAGATATTTACTGAGTGTTTATGCCAACTACTGGACTGAGGAGGAATAAAATATGATTCTTGCATTGAAAACAGATTGATAAATTGACTCAAGCATATTAAATAAAGCAATTCTGGGTACACGGGATGATGATCTTTGTCCCTGTGGGAAATTGATTAGAAGCTATGCAGGAAATGACTCCTCAAATAATACATGTATTGAGAAAAATCTCCTACCGGCTGGTGCCTGGACTAATGAAAATTTAATTACTTAGGAGATATGTGGGTGGTTTGCCTGAAAAAGACTTAGTGATCAGTCGTTGAAGGCCTGGGAGAGAGTCCTCTGAAAACAGAAAACCAGGAGCTTCAGGAGAGCAGTAGGTTTAGGAAGAGACAAGGGAAGGGCTGACGAAGGCAGGTCTTGTTGCTGCACGGAATCATCAGTTGAAGAAACTCAAAAGACAGCAGCACTGTCTTGGGACACTTGGAGCTTAGGGGAAGAGTTTAGAGCAGGGAAATTGACAGAAGAATTATGGAAGTCACCACTGGTATCTTGGGGAGCAGCCATAAAGCTAGTTCCAACCTTAGACTAAGGGAACAGAGTTCCAAACAGAAACCATGTAACTTTTTCCATGGCTGGAATGGCTCTAAGGAAGATATTGGTTTGAGATGCAAAGCTTGAAACAATTCTAAAGATGTACATGTGCCTGTCTTTTTTTAAACACTGTGTTTTACAAACCTTCTGTACCCAAAGAGTCCCTCATATTATAACAGAGTAGCTGGTGTGCTTTAAGTAAATGATTGGGCCCATGGTTCTAGAGAGGATACAATGGCAAAGAGAGGGGCCACAGTAGGGCATAGAAGTGTCCAGAAATCCAGAGGAAGTCTTCAGAGAAAAAATGCTTGATCTCCTCAGGGGTGACAGTGGAAATCAGCTCAACCCCTCATTGACTAAGTTCCTACTCATATTATAGTTAATTTTTTTCAACAAATTTTTTTTTTTTTTTTTTTTTTTAAATTTTGAGACAGAGTCTCACTCATTCTGTGGCCAGGCTGAAGCGCAGTGGTGTGATCTCGGCTTACTGCAACCTCCGACTCCCTGGTTCTTCTGCCTCAGCCTCCCAGGTAGCTAGGATTACAGGCATGCGCCTCCACAACCAGCTTATTTTTGTGTTTTTAGTAGAGATGTGGTTTTCACCATGTTAGCCAGGATGGTCTCGATCTCCTGACCTTGTGATCCGCCCACCTCAGCCTCTCAAAGAGCTGGGATTACAGGCGTGAGCCACCGTGCTGGGCCTCAACAACTTTTTAAGGGCCTATGTGTATAGCTGAGACACAAAAATAAATGATACATGACAATTTGGTTTAGTAACAAAGTTAAACTTGTAAACAATAAATGCCAGATGTCATGCTAAAATTATGCATGAAGTACTCAGGTTGGTACAATAATACCTGGAGGAGGGTGTTAAAGAATCAGGGGAAAGGTTTATAAATGAGATGATTTTAAGTCTTGAAAGACGAGTAGGTGTTTGCCAGGTGGATGGAGTGAGGCAAGAGGGGTAGGGAATGCTGCTGTCAAAAGAAGTGTATTTAAGGTGAAAATCTTCCAGTATTAATAAAACAGGGTTAAAGAGAAGAGAAACATAGAAAGAAAAATGAGGCTAGAATGTCAGGCAGGCTCCAGATCATAAAATGGTGTGTTTGCAAGTGCCCATGGTTAAATTTTCAGGAATTTCGAGACAGATGCTAAACTCAGTCATTTTTAGCAATTAGGTTATGTTAACTTACTCTTAAATAAATTATATTGCAAAGAAAAGTTACTCAAAATGAACCACTTCCTGATTTATTTTGCTACATTTTACTGTTACCTATGTTGAGGACATTTGCATTTATTGTATCTATATGGTGTAAATACTATGTGATGGTGCGCTACTGGGCATTTTCTCCCAGCTTTGCATTCAGAGATGTCATGATGTAGTTTTAAACCAGCCAGGGCAGGAATATTTATGCTGTGAATGTTAGCAAATGCTACAAATCAGGGCTTCCACCCCACCACCAAAAGCCAGTTGTTAAACTGGCTTTCAGCAACTGGTTTTTGGTTATTAAACCAGCCTTGCATGGACTCACACATCATGCAAGAGTTTGAGCTTTTTCATAGAGAGAATGATCAATCTGGTTTGGGTAAAGGAAAAGGAGACAGTCAGAATGACTCACAAGTTTGACTTGTATAACAGAAGCAATGGTGGCGCCATTTATTTTAAAAGGACTCATAGGTGGGGAGATATATAAAGCAGAAAAGACAATAAGGTTTGGATTTACTGCATTTGGGAAGCCCATGGTCCATCCCAGTGTATTAGGCAGTTGGGTTTATGGGTCTGGAGCTCAAGAGTCTAGATTGTAGGTGTGTAGTTGAGTCACCTGCAAGCAGGTAGTAGTTTAAACCACGAACGTGGGTGATGTTGCTTAAGGTGAATAAGTAGCAAGAGAAGATTGCCAAGGCCAGAACTCAAGGAGTGTTAATATTATAAGGTGGGCAAGGAGGAGGAGCCAGTAAAGGAGTTGATATAGCATAGTCAGAGATGTCTGACGACAAACAATGTCAAAATACAGCTTCTGACCTCAGTTGTCCTTTGAGAGAAGGAAGCTAGGATATAAAGTGAGAATTTCAAAGCAGCAAGTGGTACCAAAAAGGCATCGATAGAGTACTGTTCACAAGAGCGCCCAGAGGACCCAGCAACAAACTTCCTGAAAAAGAGAGATGGGGATGAGTAAGGAAAGGCTTCAGACAAACTGACTCCTGAGCTTCTTTAGTAGAAGTTTATGTACCTGCAAAGCCCTGAAAGCCTAGGAAAAGGGGAAGACAAAATGGGAAAGTGTATTTTCCCCAAAAGATACATTAGGTTAAAAAAAATTGCTTGCAATTTTCTAGGTATATTCTTGAAATATACCAAAGCATCACATACACTCCACAATTCTTTCTAAACCAAGAAGTTACTTGAGATCTGTATTTAGAGGATCTTAAAAAGGTATATTGAAATTCCACCCACCTCAACCCCAGAATATAAGAATTCTTTAGATTTAACTGTTCCAAATTTAATGAGTATTTGACATATTTGCTTTGGGGACTATCCTTGGAATAGTTACATGGCAAGTAATTCTTTCAGCTTTCTATCTCCATACTTTATAATAAACTCAGTGTTGCCCAGAGCTTTTTTCGTCTCCTCCTCCAGAGACGCCTCTATAGTGGCTGTTTGGAGAATGGTGTACTGTTTAGATTTGTATCTGGAAATGCCTCTCATCTCAACAGATGTAGATGAGACTGAGACTCAGTGAAGTTAATTGCTCAGTCACAGAGCTAGTAAGTGGTGAGCCAGAATTAAAAACCAAGTTCGTCTCTGACCTTAACCATTATGCTATACTGTCTCTACATATGTATTATGAATCTCTAATCATATTATTTTGCACAGAAAACCATCATTGGCAAGGGCCCTTGCCTTTGTGTTCCTAACAAGCCTCACACCTAGCAACGTCTAGGCAAAGTAAGTCCTTGAATAGCCAGTGCCATCTTCTATCAACCCACTCCAACACCAGAGACAGTTGCGCTCATGTATGATTTCTTTGCGGTTTCTAATTTTTGTCCAGTATAAAAGATAACCCATGGATTATAGTTTAATTGCCCCATAGGACATAAACCAGTTTTGCATCTGTGGAGAGGCCCTCAACTCATCCCCAAATGTGAAGATTTGCTAGGAAGACTCATAAGACTCCACATACAGTTCTGCTCACGGCCATGATTTATTACAGTTAAAGGATACAAAGCAAAATCAGCAAAGGAAAAAAGACACATGGGGTGAAGTCAGGGGAAACTAAGTGCAAGCTTCCAAGAATCCTCTGCCAGTGGAATCACAGATGAGCTTAATTCTCCCAGCAACCAGTTGTAACAGCACTTGTGCAACACCGTCAACCAGAAAAGCTTGTTAGAGACTGAGTGCCTGCAGTTTTTACTGGGAGCTGGTCACAAAGGGTAGTCTCTGCCTGGCACATACCAAAATTCCAGACTCCCAGAAGGAAAGCTATATTGTTTTCAGGAGAAACTATATTGTTTTACAGTTTAGATATAGTAAGCTACTTTGATCAGTTGTGGGAATGGTGGAAGCCCCCTGAACTCCAAGTTCCCAGATGCCAATCAAGGGCCAACCTTGTAAAGCAGGTCTTAAGCATAAGTAGTCAGGTCGGCTTCATTAACACTTTTTTCTGCTCAGCAATTTTATCTCAACATTTTTTCTTCAATGCCCTTACTTAGTTTCTTGAACTGCACTTTGAACCAGCTTTACTATCTGCTGGTTTCCTCATTAATGAGTTGAGTAAGTCTTCGACACATGCTCATTTTATATACATGTATATATATGAGTCATGTTGTCAACTTAAAAGGTTTGACAAATAATAACCTAATCAAGCTAAATAAAAGCCAGTCAAAATTAATAAATAAAAAACATTAACTCAATAATATCAAGGCTTAATCTCCATCTCACTTTAGTTACTTAGGAAAGAAAAAAAAAGCAACCTTTACACTAGCATTTCACACTTTCTTAGTGACTTCAGAAAGTCTTCTGATTTAGGTGGCAACCACGTGCCTAGTTGTACTTAGGGCAATATTAATAAAATAATGAATGTTTCTATAAGTAATAACATATCAAGATCAACTTCCTCTTTAATTTTACCAATCAGAATATTAAAATGCTACATCATTGTTTTAGATGAAATTCCCCATTTAAATATATTACACATAAGCCAAAATTGAGAAACAGCTCCTCGTATCACTGTACAATTTTGGGCCTTTAAAAAAAGTAAAAGCTTAATTTTAAGTTTGAATATAATGTGCAGTTTATGTAACATATATAATTATACTTTATACATTATATAAAGTATTATCTTTATTGTGAACTTTATTATGCTTCTGAAATTTCTCCATCATTTCAAATTTACTTCAATAAAAATTTCCCTATATTTTGTGAATTGCATTTTCAAAGCAGAAGTAATGTTACAAATTTCTGTCTATAATAAACAAAATATTTACGCTTTAATAATCCTATTTAGAAAAGGATGCAATTAAGAGCTGGAATAGCTAACATAAGCATAAGAAAGGTAAACTTTTCTTGAATTAAAAAAAGGAAATACTTTAATGAAAAAAAATCAAGGACAGAAGGAACGAGAAAATTTTCTAAACAGCAGCTGGTCCTTCTTCACAATATGCATTACTTGTGCAAATACATCATTAAATAATACTCATCTGATATTTACAAAATAGAGGTAAAAGAAAAACCTAAAGTATCAGGATCTTTCATTTCTTATCCTCTTCCAATCTTCTGGATACATTAGTTTACATACCAACTAAACACGTGATACTAGTTAACTATAGTTGAGAGCTTATCAATTAAGTCATCAATAGTGTAAACAAGAAGTTGAATGTCTGCTTTTTCCTTCATTTGGTGATCACTATGTTTTCGGAGGATGACATCCACATCTGTGCTGAGTACTCGATCAGCAACCTGCATTGATGTATGCCAAGGTACAATGTCATCCTTCATGCCATGGAGCAATCTTATAGGGCAGTTCACAGGAATTGGGCTATGTAACAAGCAGTGATGTTCAGCTTCTTTAATGAAACTGTACTGAACATTATAAACTCCTTCTTCAGAGTATTTTGATGGCATGCTCCACACACCTTTCATCTCTACTTCCTTTTTTAGCTATTGGAAACAGAAAGAAAAACAAAAGTATTTGTGATTTTAAGTAACATTAACATATGCAATAGTTTCAAGTAATCTAAAGAAAGCAGTTCTTGAATAAGAGGATAGAGGTAACAAAAGCATAACAATATTATCAATAATTACTATACGCCAGGTACTGTGATGGGTATTTTATACATATTATTCCATAAGATTCTGATAATAATTCTGTTATTATTCTATTTTTACAAAAGAGGGTAATATGGTTTAGATAAATGAAATATTGTGCCCAACAGTTCAGGGCTAGGCTACTAACTATGGCTAAGACTCAAACTTAAATTTAAATTTATCTAACTTTATCATACACTATCTTAAATCAGATGTTGCTTTACCCCAACTGAAAAGAAAAATGAAGGGTGAGAAAAGCACTACAATTTCTTGGAATCGGTCCAGGTATCATTCATGTTTAAATAAAATCAAATCTTAGAACAAACGTTGTTTAGATTTCAAAACTGTAAACCTAAAAGTGCTTAAAGGAGCTAAAATGGGTATGGCATAGGGGAAGAAGAGAAAGAATCAAACACAGAACTAAGAATAAAAAACTAAGAGTAATTACACTGAAACTATCATACACATACTCATGAAATTTTAGGCTGAATGTAAAGAAATACAGTTTTTCCTTCTAGAGTCCTACAAAAGAGAAAAAAATTTGATTTTTGTTCGGGATGACAAAGAAGTCTTCCACATACTTCCTGAAAGCCAAACAATAATATCTGTACATTTATTCCCTTAAAATGAAACATACACTTCCTTTGACTTTTTGAGAACTCCTATTTTTTACATAATTTATCTTAATTTTCCTTAAAAAATTAGAATTTTGTATAACAAGTAACATGCAATCATTATAGAAAACATAATAATAATAGAAAAGAAATAAACCACCCATAATCCTATCTTATGGATAGAAAAACCATTAATATGTAGCTTACTGTGGCACATATACACCATGGAATACTATGCAGCCATAAAAAAGGATGAGCTCGTGTCCTTTGTAGGGACATGGATGCAGCTGGAAACCATCATTCTCAGCAAACTATTGCAAGAACAGAAAACCAAACACCGCATGTTCTCACTCATAGGTGGGAATTGAATAATGAGATCACTTGGACACAGGAAGGGGAACATCACACACCGGGGCCTATTGTGGGGGGTGGGGGGGATAGCATTAGGAGATATACTTAATGTAAATGATGAGTTAATGGGTGCAGCACACCAACACGGCACATGTATTACATATGTAACAAACCTGCATGCTATGCACATGTACCCTAGAACTTAAAGTATAACCAAAAAAAAAAAAAAAAAACCTTGCGACTTATTTCCTTCCAGTATTTGTCTATATGCGTTTTGGTTTGTATGTAATATGTAAAATACATACATATTACACATTCATATAGTTTTCTATGCTGCTTTATTTAGTGCATATATTTCTGGGTTTAAAAAATTATATGAAAAGGTTTTAAATGCTGCACAGCAGTCCACCATAATTGACTTAATTAGCTTGACCATCTCATACTGCGGTACTGTCATGAATACTTTTGAGCATAAAAGTTTACTTATATATAATAAATTCTTGGAAAGATGATCAGAGCTTAAAACTAAAAAAAAAAAATCAAGCTAAGACTCTTACAATCATGTAATATGAAGGGCATTTCTAGAAAAATGGAATGGACATCTTATCAAAAATTTTAAAAAACAAGGAAAGAAAAGCTACACATAATTGAAAAATTTAAAATTTCAACAAATATACTATGATTTTCCCATGTTTAAAATTGTTAATTTATTGCAAATGTAAAAAGGAAAACAAGAACTTAAAAAATATGTATGACAAAACATAATCTATATGTACTTAGGCTTTTAATATATTTTTAATTCCAAAAAGACTTAATAATTCAGTAAAAAAAAAAGGTACTTCTAAATACGTCTCCAAATGATTTAAAATTAATGAAATTCTACAAAACTATAAAATGTATAAATCTATATTAATATCATGGCATTCTCTGTATTAAAACAACATATGAACCAAATATTTAAAGTAAAGATGATGTTTAGCTATCCTCAACTACTCAGGATTGTTCCTGAATTTGTAAATACTTCAGCAGATAGAACTTAGTCCCACTGATTATTAGCTGAAGTAGAGGTTTTTGCTAATTAAGGAGACACTGAATTAATAATAGTTTCATTTTATGCATCCCTGGCCCCCAACTAGCTCTGTTACCTGCCACTGAATTGAATGAAAATGGTCCATCTGAAGAACAAAGTTAACTTTATAAAATGTATGTCTCAAATCTTCAAGAACAAAAAGTTCAGAAACAGCAAAGACATTACCCAAAGAAAATGTAGAATATATTAAGTTCTACACCAACAAAACTTATCAAGGCAATGTGGTTCAGAAGCTTACATTCCAAACAGCTGTGCATCATGTCCGAGGCCCTCTAGTGTCCAAAGAAGGCAATAATGATTACAGTCAGTTAAGAGGATGGTCCAGTTCTTACACAAGCAATGAGAAAAGCTGGGCTTAATATTCCCAGTGTTATAAAAGATAGTAAAAATCTCCACATCTGCTCCATTGACATGGTTAGCGCTGTTTATGTGGAGAAGAGATAGTGGTCTTAGTGTTGGTGCTCTTCCTTATATATACTTTTAAGTTAACCAAGGGCTCAACATGCTTCTGTTAACAACTGCTTATCAGATTAAGTATTAGCAAAAAATGCCTTGATTTGCAGATTATAAATCTTCTCAGTCACTTATAAAGTATCTACCCTATCCTCACTCTGACTGATGTGAACACACACACACAGAGAGAGAGAGAGAGAGAGAAAGAGAGAGAGAGAGAAATGTACCAGGAGAGAGAGAGAGAGACAGAGAGAGAGAGAGAGAGAGACAGAGAGAGAGAGAAATGTACCAGGAGAGAGAGAGAGAGAGAGAGAGAGAGAGAGAGAGAGAGAGAGAGAGAGAGAAATGTACCAGGCATAATGGCTTGTGTCTGTAATCTCAGCACTTTGGGGATCCAAGGCAGGAAAATCTCTTGAGCCAAGGAGTTCAAAACCAGCCTGGGCAACATGGCGAGACCCCCATCTCTACAAAAAATACAAAAATCAGCCAGGCATAGTGGTGTGCACCTGTGGTCCCACTACTCAGGAGGCTGAGGTGGGAGGATCTCTTGAATCTGGGAGGTCAAGGCTGCAGTAAGCAATGACTGCACCACTGCACTCCGGCCTGGGCAGCAGAGATACCCTAAAAACCCCCAAACATAAAAACAAAACCAAAACAAATGTACACAGGTTTTGTCATTCACCAATAATTACAAAATACAATAAATCCCCCCAACCCCCCAAAATCAACTCCTTTTCAATCTGCCATGTCCTTGAGATAATTTCCTACCCGAGAAGCACTATATTATTGAGTTGAGAGGATGGAGCAAGGAGGAGTCCACATTTAGATCCACAAAATGGCAATGGTGGGAAAAACATGAAGACATTGAGCAACTATGTATAAGAAACCACCAAGAAAGTGAACAAAATTCAGAAACAGGAGATAAGTTCAAGGAAGACCAGCTTTGTAATTTTAGCTCTGACAGGAAATAATATAAGAAACCTGAATACACACACAATGCTATTTCTTAAGGAGCTGAAAACAATGTGAACTAAGAATGAACTTAGCTAATAGATGGCAAAGGCATTAATGCAGAACTTGAGGCAAATCAATGACATTCTACTATTCAACACTACATACGTTTTTTCTTCTTTATTTCTGAATCTCCTTCTCCTCTTCCTCCATTCTCTAAAGCATTGTTCTCAAACTTTACAAGAGGTTAGAACACAGACTGCTGGGCTGCACCCCCAGTTTTTGATTCAGGGTAAAACCCAAGAATTCGGGCTTCTAACAAGTTCTCAGGTGCTGCTGCTGCTGCTACTAGCCTAGGGACCATATTTTTAAACTAGTGCTCTGTTTTCTTTAATTTCTGTATCTCTGTCACTCTGACTGACAGTATCTGTCTGGAGAGTTCTGTTGAGAGGATCTGAGGCTGCTTTTAGGCTAAAACAAAGAGAGTCAGCTCTCCATATTCATGGTTTCTGCAACCATTGATTCAACTAACTTTGGATCAAAAATACCTGGAAAAAAAAGGTTACATCTGTATTGAACATGTACAGACTTTTTTTCTCGTCAGTATTCCCTAAACGATAACAGTGTAACAACAATTTACATAGCACTTACATTGTACTAGGTATTTTAAGTAATCCAGAGATGACTTAGATTATACAACATTATGTGCAAATACTACACCATTTTTTTTCTCAGAGACTTGACCTTCTATGGACTTTGGTATCCGTGGGAGGTCTTGGAAGCAATCCCCTTCAGATACCAAGGGATGACTGTAGTTTCAGTTGATTAGCCCACTCTAACATAGTCATAAGAATAGGCACTAGCCTAGGGACCACATGCCACAAAGTAAGAGGGCCAAAAGGAGATCACGATGTATGATCCAAATAAGTAAATGTAATAATAAAGAAAATGTTGCTTTAAAAAAAGACACTTCAAAGTGTGATTTTGTTAACGTGTCTCAAATATTGGCAGAATGACTTGAAGAGACAGTGAAGAAAGGAAATCTTAAACAAGATGCCAAATAGTCAAAGGTAGAAAAAAGATTGTGTACAGAAAGGCAGCTAAGACAAAAGTTGGGCCAGCACAGTAAGTCAAAGGACTTATTGTTATCTGTCCCTCCTTCCCTCAAAGAAAGAGGGAGCAGAACAAGTATAAGGGGTAAATATATTGAGGTGGTCAAAGTGACTTTTGACTTACCTCAACAGGAAGCTGATTAAACTTTGTCACTAAGGTATCTGCAGCTGTAGCTACACCAATAAGAGCCACGACCTTTTCTGGTCGTGCAATTGCAGCATGAAGCATAAGCCACCCCCCAAGGCTCGATCCAACAAGAATCTAAAAATAAAATAAAATATTAGGTCTTTAAGATAGAAAAGGTTATAAACATAAAACAAAATATGTACAATAAAAAAATATACTGTTTTGTTTTGGTTTTTTTTGAGACGGAGTCTTGCTCTGTCGCCCAGGCTGGAGTGCAGTGGTGCGATCTCGGCTCACTGAAAGCTCCGCCTCCCGGGTTCACGCCATTCTCCGGCCTCAGCCTCCAGAGTAGCTGGGACTACAGGCGCTCGCTACCACGCCCGGCTAATTTTTTGTATTTTTAGTAGAGACGGGGTTTCACCACGTTAGCAAGGATGGTCTCGATCTCCTGACCTCGTGATCCTCCCGCTGCGGCCTCCCAGAGTGCTGGGATTACAGGCATGAGCCACCGAGCCCGGCCTAAAAAATATATTGTTAGAAAGTAAAAATCATGGAATCATTTTAAATCAAATATCAAAATTGATTAAACATTTAAATGAAATAAAAACATTTTCATATCTAAGGAAATAGCTTAGGCCGGGCGCAGTGGCTCACGCCTGTAATCCCAGCACTTCGGGAGGCTGAGGCGGGCGAATCACGAGGTCAGGAGATCAAGACCATCCTGGCTAACACGGGTGAAACCCCATCTCTACTAAAAATACAAAAAATTAGCCAGGTGTGGTGGCGGGCGCCTGTAGTCCCAGCTACTTGGGAAGCTGAGAAAGGAGAATGCCCAGGAGGCAGAGCTTGCAGTGAGCCAAGATCGCGCCACTGTACTCCAGGCCAGGCGACAGTATGGGATTCTCGCTCAAAACAAAAAAAAAAAAAGAAAAGAAACAGCTTAAAAATGAGGTTATAGTAATTACCATCATACTTAACAAAAACAGTCACCTGTGGCCCATCAGCTAGGTCATCAATTATAGAAAGAACATCTTTTCTCCATTTCCCCAGTGTGCTTTCCTCCGAGTTACCATCTGAACTCCCAACTCCTGAGTAATCAAACCTGGAAAAAGAGGGAAAAAAAATCTGTATCTAAATATCTATACATTTGCTTCTTTAATTTTTAAGAAAGATAGCACCTTCCTCATTACTATAATGCTTATAGCAAAACATCACAATCAATATGTATTTTAGCAAATTCTATTGGCTTATTCACTTTCAAATATCTCCTATGTCCAATCACTTTCTCACCTCCTCCACTGCTACCAGCCTGGTCCTAGTCACACTGTCTCTCAACTGAACTTAATGCAATAGTCTCGTAAAAAGTCTCCTGTTTGCATTTTCACACTCATAGTCTTTCCCTATAGAGTGATCCTTGTAAATCAAAACCATGTCTTGCAAACCCTCCAAAGGCTTTCTATAATCTTTAAACCCAGAGTCCTTACGATACTTTGGTGCCTGATCACCTCTCTGATCTCATTTCTCATTGTTTTCTCTCTTTCCCTCCCTCCCAACTGTATCTTCACTTTCCTTCTTGAAGTTCCCGTCTCATCAGCTTTTTTCTCCACATGGCATACTCTCCTCCAGATGGCCATTTAGATTGATCCCTCACTTCATTCAGGCCTTTGGCTCAAATGTTACATCCTCAGAAAAGCCTCCCATGACCATTCAATTATTAAAACTGTGCTGCTTTCATCATTCTCTAATTCTTTACTCTGCTTCATTTTCTTCATAGGACTTATGACTACTTGAGATATATTTGATTATTTGTGGTCTGTCTCCCACACTGGAATGAAAGCTCCACATGGGCACAAGCTTTGTTTCAATGCGTTCCTAGTGCCTAGATCAGTTCCTTGCAAGTGGTAGGCGCTTAGTGTATATTTAGCGAATTAATGGAACAGAGGGAGACCAGAATAAAATTTATCTTCACCAACCCATCCCTTTCTCCTTCCGACTTCCTAGTTATCTAGGCTCAGTTATCTGTCTGATCTATGAATTTTACCTCTCTTTAAGGGTATCAAATCAATAAAAAATCACGGTGGTATAAAGTATCATACCACACCCACAGGTTACCTAAACCCTAGTCATACTGAACTACTCCTAATTCCCAGTTACACCCTTTTATACTTAGAGCCCTAGCATGCTGTTCTGCTGCCGAGAACAGCTTCCTCCCCAACCTAAATTCGTAGTCATCCTTGAAGTCATGTCACCTCCTCTGTGGAACTTCACTTGACATATATGCCCCATTTTAGTACCAGTCACTCTCTTTTGTATGTACTCAACACTTTTCATATTGTATTGTAATCAAGTTTGTTTTTAAACATGCATCTCCCTCTGACTAGAATGTCAGTTCCTTAAGAGCAGGCTGTTTTATTCAAGTTTGTTTTTCCAGGCTATAGAATACCGCCTGCCCTATACCATCACCATTCATTCTCATTTCTTATGTTCATCCCTTTCTTGGCACTTTGGTAAGTCCAGTATCTTGGTGCAGGTGTTTATTTGTCATCTTAGACCTAGACTATCACAGTAGCCTTCTATCTTGTGTCTCTGACTCTGTCTTTAAATAGAGTCACTATACACAAGTCAGTTTTTTTCTTTAACATTATATTGATATAGCATTACTTTCAGTGCTCCCTGTGATATACAACATAAACAGTGCTTTGGCCTGTTTTTTTTGAACCATTATATTCTGGTCATTTCAGACTGATTTCACAATCAATTTTACAGTAATTTTTTTTTTAACTACTAAATTTTACAGTAGTACTCACTTCATCAGGGAATACTACTGCTTTAGATAAACTGATGAACTTACTGTTCCTAAAATAAGTCTATGTTTTCTTATGTGTTTCACACCTCACACGTTGATTCCTTTATCTGGAATACCTTCTTCCATCATCTTCTTTACTGATATCTTTTCCCTTCTTTACTGATATTGTTTCCCAGGGCCTAGTTCAAATGAACCTTTTTGGTGGAATGGCTGGTACAGTAAGTAAGGGATTTACAAGAAATAGGAGGGAGAAGAAATTAAATTTTTCTTTAGGTTTGAAGTGAAACAATTTTGGATCCTTGGGAAATAGAACAGGGCAACTGGTGCAGTCTAAATCAGTTACTGTTTCCCCCTCAATCCAGGGTATGTAAGAGACAGACGGGTGGAAAGGGTGGAGGGAAAAAGGGAGAAAGACACCAACTAATTCTCTCCTTTTCTCTCTTCTTAGTTGGCAATTGGATATGGCTGAATGCGGCATCTTTTACAGTTAGCTGCCTTCTAAATATATGGTGACGATGCAAAATACTTGTATAGCTCTTTCATGAAGGAAAATATAAATATTTGGTCATACTAATAGGGTACCAGTAAAAACTATATAGTTAACTCGCTGAACCCCAATCCAGAGACAAAGATAATCCAAACATATTCAGAACTTTAAAACTTTTAAACAGTAGCACATCTCCACCTTAGCAGCCTCAACAGTCTGGGATGTAGTCCCTAATAAAAACTCTATTAAAAATAACTATGAGAGAATACCAGCCTTAAAACCATATGTTATATTCCTGAAATCTGAATCAGTCTTATTTTAGGCATGGTGATAGGATCTTAATAAAACATTTTCATATAGTCATATGTTTTATTTCTTGTGTAATAAAACTATTTCATCACTGAAGATCTAAATTTTACAGCAAAAAATCCCAACAAAAGCAACCTGAAAAATTAGAGAATAGAAGACAAAATCTCTTATAATAAAGTGCAATCAATAGTTAACAATAATTAGACTGTGATGAACTTTGATAAGAGTAAATAAAATGGAACTTGTTCAAACTAAAAATTTGTAGTGAAGCACTATTCTTTATGACGGTATACTCATACAGGATCCAAAATGCAGAAAACCCACATTATGTCTTATAGGGAGACAGGAACTGGTTATAACTCTCATAGTCCCAAAGCTGAAATTCAAGAACTGGTAAAATGGTGATTTCTTGATTCAAATTTATTCAGTGGCAAAAAAGAAAAGTGACAACAATATTTTTGATATTATGATGTTCTGCTCAGGACAGTTCCCCTCCTTGGACAGCACCTCCCTCCTACCCAAATCCGAATTCATTCTTCAATGTTCCTTTATCTATTTCAATCCCACTGTCTTTAACTTTATGCAATTAAGGATACTGTTCTTTTGACACAATCACATTCTGCCTAATTTCTCACACGTATTTTATCTTGTGTTTCCCCACCCTGAATGAAAGGTCCTCATAAGCAAGTACAATATTTTATAATTCTTTGTTATTATGCAGCACTCAGTATAGTGCTTGAGAATCTATTTCCAAAAAGTACTCCAATCTTCAGAATAAGTCAGAACAGATTTTAAAAGAGTTCTGAGCATGAAAATACAATAATTCAGTTAGTTTGGTAAAAGAAATAAGATTAAATCTATATAATTGACATAAATGCTAATATATTGAACAGGTAGTCTGAAAGTTTTATATATAGCTGTATTTTCTAGAATTATTGAATGAATGTTAGTGAGTCACTCTTCTAAAAATTTAGATGGATAGATTTTTAGGCTGTTAGTGCTAGAAAATAACTCAGAAGTTATTTCTAGTCCAACCAACCTCCTTTTGATGACAAACTTAGGTCCAATGTTTATTAACTTACTTGTCATAGTTATTGCTAGAATTTATTCTAGAACCCTTGTTTCTTGAATTCCAGGCTAATCTTCTTCTTACGAAATCATACCATCTCTTCTGGACAGTAGATACTAAACATATGACTGCTATAGGTAGACCTTATAATAACAAAGTTATTTACTAAAATAACTCTCAGTATGAAAAATTAGGAATTATAAAATCAAGCTTGAGTTAAATATCACTTATCCCTATTTATGATTATACATATTTAGATTACAGGAAAAGGAAGAGAAAACTCCGCAGAAACTTGCATTATATAATACTTTTAAATACACGTATTACTTTCAGATAAACAGAGATCAAATAAAGTCCTTAAGTCCCCAGTGGAAAATGATAATATAAGAGACTGTATGAAAGCCAACTAGTATATCTGTTTGTTGTCACATACATTATTGCCTCTGAAGAGCTTAGTTACCACTACTTCCCTTAAGACGTCCTTTCCTGCCAGGGTTGTCAGCATGGCACAAAGGCCTTTAAAAAAGGTCTTTTAAAGGTTGCTTTAAAAATTAACCTAAACCACAAGATGCAAGTTTACACATCATTAAAATAATTTATAAAAATGCTGGCATTTACTTCAACTGATTAGAACAGAAGTAATTCTCCATTGTAATGCTAACAGTAGTAATATTTTCTCAGTAATGTGTTGTTCCTACCTTATGCAGGCGTGACCTAGAGATTTGCAAAACTCCTCAATCGCCAATGCTTTTGTACCATTCATATAAGAAAGATAGCCAGGGATGAAGATAATTCCTGGACTTTTGCCTTTTAGCTTCTTATAAGCCAGGTTTGGAAGGTCTGGTCGATTAAGGAATGAGAGTGACGTCTTTTGTCTACAAGCTAAACAAAGTACACAAAAAGTAAACTATGGTTTGTAAATTCAGTCTTTGGAAAACCATATATATTTTCGATCTTAACTTTCTTATCTCAATGAATTGATGTTAAATACTATTTCCATTTAATAGAAAAAACAAGAACAGACTCAAAGTATTAAGTTAGTAAGTCTGTACATGAGATCTCCAGTTTTAAAATCATGCCAACATCAGTAACTTCTTTGAGCGAAGTCCAATCTTCATTCTTCCAAAATACACAATGAGGTAGGAATTTCAAGGCAACAAAAGACAGAGACTAATCGAAAAACATTTTCCTGTTGCTGCTTTATCATCTGTCCTAAACAGTATCAATCAACATTCAGATTTACCTGCAATAGTTTCAGTCCTCTCTTGTGAGATTTTTGGTTTTGTTTTTAAATTTATTTTTTGCTTGATAAGTTTCACATCCCCTATTTCCTTTTTTTTTTTTTTTGAGACAGGGTCTCACCTTGTCACTCAGGCTGGATGCAGTGGTGCAATCGTAGCTTACAAGCAGCCTGGACCTCCTCGACTCCCCAAGCTCAAACCATCCTCCCGCCTCAGCCTCCCCAGTAGCTTCACTACACACATGTACCACCACACCTGGTTAATTTTTGTATTTTTTTGTGGAGACAGGGTCTCACTATGTTGCCCAGACTGGTCTCCAACTCCTGGGCTCAAGTGACCCGCCCACCTTGGCCTCCCAGTGCTGAAATTACAGGTGTGAGCCACCATGCCTGGCCTTGCATCCCCCACTTTCTTGGGGGTCAGGGAAGAAACAGGTTTGGTCTGCCCTTGGAAAATTATTTCAAAGGAGGAGGTGCCGTGCCCTTTTTATTACTGACTCCCATCCACCTGCCCACCCATCTGCCCACCTCAACCAAGAAATCATGAGCTGTGGTGACAACTCATAATTTTATTATCAGCTGAAGTGGGTTCAATGAGTAGTTTCTTTAAAAATAACGTATGATAATATCGTTTTTGGAAAGAGATTTCTTGTAGACCTATGCAATCACTTTGCGTTTTATTTGTTGGTTTGGCTTTCTGTAAATAGTACACACAGATTTTAGTGTAATCTAAGTACAACAGTACAATTGGTGAACTTTATAAGATTATTCTATTTCACCGTTTTTCAAATTTTCCCCCATTATAAAATCCATACTTGCTCTTAAGTAACAAGTAGATATATTTTTTAAAAGAGTCATTTATAATCCCACCTCTTCTTTCCAAAGACACTAGGTTTGTGTACTTCCTTAGAGTCTTTGGCCTAACACATTTTCTTTTTTCTTATTAAATGAAGCCGTCCTCCACTTTGAAAATTTCTGTCTTGAGAATCCATGTGTGCTGCTAAAGTTTTCCCCATTTTGTAATTAAGAAGTTGATTTTTTAAAGATGTAATTGAAGGCCTTAAAGCTATCCTTTTTTACATGAAAGCTTGTTTCAAAGTATAGAGAAATATGCCAAATTTAAAACTTTTGGTAAGGGCCAGTTACGTTGATCCACTGATGTTCATTTCCCATCTACTCAGCTGAGCACTAAAAAAAATTCTTACTATCCTCTTCCAGAAATCACCTCTCAAAACATAATTTCCCCCTGAGATGATTACAATTTACTTAGTGTAAGTTCTAAGAAGACCGATTCATATAATTATATCCATAAATCATTTTTGAACATAAGGATTAGTTCAAAGCCTGGTGCATAAGTGCTCAATGAATGTCTGCTAAACATATGAAATAATATTATACTCTGGTTAATGAACAGACATACTACACTTTGCTAGGAGTATTTGCATGTGTAACATGCCTTTTGGTTGCGTACAATTAAATGCAAGTTAAACTGATTATAAACGTTTAATTATTGGATACAAAAATCTCCATACAAAAGATCTCTGCCATGACATTAATTACCACTCCAAGCACAATGGCGTCAACAACACACAAAGCCAAAAAAACAAAAGGATCTAATTCAAAGACTATATATACATATACGAGGTTCTCTGATTTTTGGCCCAAATTCTCGTTTCCTTTGTGCAATAATGATTATGGTTCTTTTCACTGAGTGGGTGCAGCAAGAAGACAAAACTAGAAATTAGGCTTTTGAGGGCTTCTACACTTTTACAAAGAACGTGCCTCACATTATTAGGTTCCCTCAAGTCAAAGGAGAGTCGGTCTAAGCATTTTAGGAGTCGCAATCTACAAACTCCTAGAAGTAACTAATAATAATGCATTAAACGCATATTTTAATTTTTTCTAGTGTTGGCGTTTAATGCAGGGGAGGCAGATAGGGAGCAGGAGCTCTTTAAACTGCACAGTGTAAAACGCCGGCGAGGGCCCGGGATGCCCAGAATGCCGCAGGGCCGCGGCAGAGTTCTCCTCACAGCCTTCACCATGAGTCTACTAAGCGCCTAGAACTGGGGTGTTGAGAAAGGGGAAACAGCATTTTTGAACCGGGCGCCAAAGACGCACTGCACAGGCACAGGAACTGACGGAACCCGAGGCGTTCCAAAGAACGCATCCTACTCCCGCCTTTCGGACACTGACCTGGGAGCCACCGTGGCGCCCGCTGAGGTATCAGTGCAAGCAGCGCGCCCAGGCCACGGTGGGGACCGACGGGGGCGGCTGCCCAGCCCCAGCTCCGATAAGGTACCCAGGCCGCCACCGCTGCCAAGCGCGCAACCGCCATCTTCTTAGTTGTCCCTGAACCCTGCAGTATCCCACAGACGCGCACGGTACGCAACGGAACCGAGGCTGCGCATGCGCTTCAGGCTGGAAGGCGGAACTTGCTGGTTTCAGCTTGCGAAGAGCGCGCATGCGCAGCGCGTCGTGGCTCTTTCCTTTGGACTGTTGGTTCTACTAGTAGCGGAGTTTGGCTTGGTGCCTTTGGGATGTTTTGAGTGGCGTCTGGAGGCTGCCCTATCAGCGGGCTGATAGATACTACAGGGCTGGAAGCTCAGAAAGCAACCCTATCCAACGGTCCTAGATGGGAAACCGTCTCCTGTCGAGGACACCAGGCTTGCTGCATCACCTGCAATCCCGCCGACCGCGTGACAGTTTTAACCTGTACTGGAAATGCTCCCAAGATCTGACATTCATCTCGCCTGTATAACCTGGAATGGTATCGGACATTCCCCGCTCTAGATCTAGATGCCCGGTTAATAAAATACTGAATTATCTTGGCCCCTTCCTCGTGCTCTATGCAAAAATAAATTTCACTAAAAAAATGATTTCAACGGAAGAATACAACTGAGACGATTAAATTTTAGGAGACTATTATATAATCTGGGGACAGAAGGGACTTTCTAAACCAAGATTTCAAAACCCCAGCATCATAAATAAAATATATACTTGTATACGAGTTTAAACTTTTCGAATGGCAAAAGACACCTTAAGAGCTTAGAAAAATGGATTTTGTAGCATAGATACACTAATACTTCTATTCAGCCTGCTCCTAGAAATAAAAAAATGTAATTCCAATAAAATTGGCCAACAGCTATAAATAGGCACCCCATATAAGGAAACATGATGCTCAAACTCACTAAATGAAAAACTGGAATTTAAAAAATGCCTTTTCCCCCCATTCACTTGGCAAAAAAGAAATAATTGGCAAGAATGCTAGACACTGGCACTTATGTATGATTGCTAGGAAGGTGAATTGCTAAAATTTGTTGTCAAGTAATATGGCCACATCTACAATTTTAAAATATGCATCCATTCCAGTGCCTTTTAACGCAGTGGCACCAGTTTGTGATTATCCTATAGAAAACAACACTAGTTCTTAAGACTGCATATTATCTACTACACCGTTTTTAGAGGCAAAGAGAAGAAAAAAATGGGAATGGCTAACAATAGAAAAATAGTTGAATAAATTGTAGTACAAGGGTTTCCAGACTCCAGCTCTGACTACCTTTCAAACTAATTCCTGGGGGCCTCAAGCATCAACCATGAAGTTTTATGTAGTAGTTTCCTATTTAAAAGTTATGGTGGTTTGTGTAATACTTTGAGTACATATAAGATAGTAAAGTAACATTTATTATCCTGGTTATAAATTTGGGGGGCAGTAATTGGTACCAGAATTAAAGGCAAAGTTTGCATATAGTGAATTCAGCATGTCTTTGGAGTCGTGAGAACCTGGACTGTTGGCACAGTCTGGAACAGGTAGATAAATAAAGACTGAATAGATCTCTTTCTTGAGAGGTGGGATGCCTATCTACTAAGGACATATAGTTAAGGATAGTAACTTGATTTCAGGACATAGTGCAAAAGATGTTGAGCTGTGTTGCCCGTTCTCCATTACACCTGTTGTAGACTCGAAGGGACTAAATCACTAAGATGATGCCTGATGCATGCCATTTCATCATCCCTTATATCTCGTTTTGTTTTTTTGTTGGTGTATTTTTTTTTTGAAATAGAATCTCGCTTGTCACCCAGCCTGGAGTGCAATAGGGCGATCTTGACTCACTGCAACCTTGGCCTCCTGGGTTCAAATGATTCTCCTGCCTCAGCCTCCCGAATAGCTGGGATTACAGGCACCTGCCACCATGCCTGGTTAATTTTTGTATTTTTCATAGAGACGAGGTTTCACCATGTTGGCCAGGCTGGTCTCAAACTCCTGACTGCCTGTGATCCACCTTCCCTTGGCCTCCCAAAGTGCTGGAATTACAGGTGTGAGCCACCGCATCCGGCCCATCCCTTATATCTTAAACACTTCTCTCTGCATGTTTTGGATAATTGCAAATATTCTCAATCACTTCTCCCCTTTTTCTTCCCCTTTATTTTTGCAAGTCTTCTTGCATTTTACTTGCAGTAGGATGAAAAATCTGACTGGTCATAGTGGGAAATCACTGCACAGAAAAAGCGGAGAAACCCATGGATTATTTTCTGTATTCACTCTTGCTGTCTAACAAATTAGAAACAATCATGGCTAGTGGCAAGTACAGATGCTTTTACGGACAGTAATGAGCTTGAAGTAGACAAATTTTTTCCACTCTGAGTACTTATTGTCAATGTTGACTTCATCAATATATAAAGGGGGCAAAGGGACATACTGCTGAGGGAAGCTTCTGTCTGTGAAATCTGCTGCCTTAGTTCAGGGAGACAAATGAGATCCCCAGCAAATAAATCTTTATGTCACATTTACATGATTTTTTTTTTTCCTGTAAGATAAAAGGATAAGTAAACACACTCCTTGCAATCCCCAGCAATAATTGTATTTGTATAAACAGACAACAATAAGATGTTAGATTTTTTTCAGGGTTCATTTCATTTTGTAAGCAATAGGATATAACCAGAGATACTTCTATTTGAATACTTCAGTTTATACACTACAAATCGTAATGTTAGCACACAACAAACTTTATGTAGTTTCTACAACTGTCATGTGCGATTAATTCATCCTCCATCATACTACAGACAGGTAACTTCAAAATGAGAGATGAGTTTATTGTCAAATGTGAAATCAGATCAACATTTTAATCTAAACTCAATATATTTAACACACATATTTAAGAGGCTTACTACATCATGCAATTGTATTAGAACACCTTTACAATCCTATGAAGAGAGTACAGTGCAGAAAAGTCATATCTTTACATTAACCAACAAAATCTTAGCAATTACATTTTAGTCTTACATCACTACAGGGTTTAAAAGTGATCACTACAAAATCAGATTTAAAAAATGTCTTCCACAATCATGATTTTTGTCCTTCACTGTTCAAGTAAAATCTTGTGTCATCCAGTTGCAAAATCTTATTATTGACAACATGTATACGTGTCTACAAACCACACTGCAAATTAACAAAAGAATTGTACCCAGTCAGGCTGACAAAGTTTAATAAAGAGACACTTCTAATCTAATCATTTCATCTTGTAAGTAATATCTTTATTCTCTACATCTATTCATTTGCCATGTTTTAGGAAAGAGCACATTCATACTTTCAAGCATGCAAAACATGATAAACTAGAATAAATGGCACTGGAAAAACCATTATAAAAGAGACTTGCCTGAAGTCGTTTCATTTGACAAAAATTAACTAAAAAAAAGGCTAATTGTAAAAAAAAAACCATAATAAAATAATACATTATAGAGAACATTAAGTTGAACTTCATTTGCCACTTTGTAGAACTACACCACTTCTGCAAAGAAGTATTTTAATTGGTCTGTTCTTTGGTGAAAACAGAGTTATGATTTCATAGTTATGTCTAGGCAGCAGTTAGCAGGTGTGCTCCAAAACAAAAAGGAATCAGACAATCTAAAGGACATTGGCTACTGGTTGCCTTTATTCTCAGCACCAGGAATGCAGAAATATTCAGCAAAACAAGCTCCTAACACCAGATATTCTCTTTATTTAAAATTGTTCAACATGACAGAATGCCTGTTATGTAACATGATTTTTTTCTAAAACAGCCTTTTGCTCTTTCTTCTTTTCCAAAAAGTGGTTTAATATATATATATACACACACACATATATACACATATATAAATATATATGTATAAATATATATATATATATATTAGCTTACACCAGTGGTGACACTGCAAAGTCAATTTCCTGGGCATTTGATGGCATCAGAATACCATTTTGCAATATACAGAACAATACAAAATGCAGTTCATCACTTGCAGTTACTACTGTTCCACAGAAGTCAGGTCAGGTCTTTGGTTTTGGTGCAGTACTTAAAAAATTAAGGCAAAACTCCTCCTAAAATGTATTTCCCTCCAAGCCCTTATTTGCTTATGTTTACAAAATAACTGTCAACAAAATGCTACCTTTTTTAAAAAAAGCCAGTTGATTACCAATAATGTCAATGCCAATGATTTGGGTGATAAAGTTATTCTATATTTCCAAGTATATACAGATATTCTGTAACCTATTTAACCAAATGCAACAACTGATTAAAAACAGTTTATAAGAAATGTTCCTGTAAGTGATCCAATTTATCAAAATAGTGTTTTCTTTCTCATGAAAGCTTCAATTCTTTTGCTATTTGTTATCAAGGTTTGTGTTAAAACCCCTTCTTTCTTTTTTACAAATAACTTGTCTTGATATGAAAGGAGTTCTGAGTGTTTACAGTTCAAGGGATGGATCTGTTGGGTTTTCTCATCCGGGGTTGAATATGGCTTCATTCTTGTAAGAGATTATTGCAGTTTGCCCTGAAGTGAACTGTTGCCTCAGTTCACTACAACAAGAAGTGAGTGTAACCTTCTGCCCCCGTAACTATAACATCCATCCAGATCCGCATGGCTTCTGGCGATGGGGCCACCATATAATAGATTCTGTCATGAGTCTTGACGCTAAAGGTGAGTAACGGATTAGGACTCTAAAATTCAAAAAAGGAAAAAGAATGTAAAATAAACATCTTAAAATACAACATTAAACAACACAGACATGTGAAGACTTCTTTAAAACTTTCAATTTATTAAATTTACAAAGGCATAATTACTTTTGCTCTACTGTCACTCACACACCCGCCCCAGAGCCTTTTTCAGGATCGAACATGGAACATTCTGGCCTTTCTGAACAAGAAATCTCAGACAGAACTCACAAATTATTTCAGCAGCTAGTTTGTAAAGCTCTAGCAGGGTACCTATCTGAGAGTAGGAGCTTAATAAATAGTAGCTGTTACTCTTAGCCCTACTAGGACATGCTCATGATACCCCTCTTAACTATATGGTAGCTTCTTTTTAGAAACCTGGCAGTCACTTTGTAGGGTTTCCCAAACCATTATGTCCAGAATGTTTCCTCAATTTGCTATGACATTTTTTTCCTCAAGATCAGCCATCCCACTCCGTGTTTACTTTTCCAGCACCATTCTGATCATATCTATCTGTTATATCAGAACATCAACTTCAAACTTCTTAGACCCCAAAAATATTTTTCCTTTCTTAATTATGCATTCAAATTGTAGGAATTTAGAAGACTGATGTTTACCTTATTAGCATTCTTGAGGTGATCATAATACACTTCTTCAATGGCTTGAAAGTATATTACTCCTTTCAATTTAGTTTCATGCTTGTCTGCAAAGACAGATGAGTGTTAAATACTTTATCGCCACCGAGGAACAGAAAAAATAATTTTATTACAATTATAATCATTAAAATATTTACAAAGTATTTAATTTATCTAAGATTAATTCAGAGAACTTGGGCTAGTGCACGAGGCCCCTTCTATCTATATTGGAAAAATAAAAAAGAAAAGCCATAAAATTACTAGCTGCAAACCAAAGAACTTGATGACTGCCTAAGGCTCTCCAGTCGATCACCTATCAAATTTTTTATTCAGGGTGCTTGATTTTTCACCCCCACCTCCGTTTTCAACAGAGCTTCAACAAATAATTTATTGTCCTTTCAATGCAACAATTTCCAAACTGTTTTCAAAGATTTCATCCCATTTACCATAAAAACAAAGCAAAACAAAAACAACCAAAATATAACTCAAACATATAGCACCACTCTGTGATCTGTTAAGTTCTTGAAATATTTTGTAACTTAAACTCTGCAAAGATCACAGTGCATGTCAGCATATTAAAGAATTTTAAAAGCATGAATGAGGAGGTAGGGAAAGAGACTCTATCATACCCTAGTAGTGGAAGTGCAAATAAGACAGCCTCTTTTGGAAGACAGCTGGTAAATGGGCCGGCCGCGGTGGCTCACGCCTGTAATCCCAGCACTTTGGGAGGCCGAGGAGGGCGGATCACGAAGTCAGGAGATCCAGACCATCCTGGCTAACACGGTGAAACCCCGTCTCTACTAAAAATACAAAAGAAATTTAGCCAGGCGTGGTGGCGGGCGCCTGTAGTCCCAGCTATTCGGGAGGCTGAGGCAGGAGAATGGCGTAAACCCCAGAGGTGGAGCTTGCAGCGAGCTGAGATCGCACCACTGCACTCCAGCCTGGGCAACAGAAGGAGACTCCATCTCAAAAAAAACCAAACAAAAATAAAAACAAAACACACACACACACACACACACACACACACACACACACATATAAATCCTCTTATTAAGCAATTCCACTTCTAAAATGTTACTGCATAAGATCTGGTGTGTGTGCAAATAAATGTACATGGATTTGTGTTTGTTGTGGCACAAGGTTGCAAAAGATCTGCTTGAGCTTTAATAGGAGACTGATTCAATTACAGACCAGCCATACAATGAAATCTATAAAGCTACTGAAATGATGGAGGTAGATCTGTATCTGCTCCTAAGGAAAAAACCCTTGAAATACTATCACATGAAATAGGGTATGAATAGAATGAATAATTTAGTCCCAAATATATAAAAGAAGAAAATATATACATACTGAAACATATATAAAAATGAATAGAGAAAATCTAAAACAATATTTCTAGCTTGAAAATGAGAGATCAGAACTTTTGTGATGATAAAGAGACTTACTTTCATCATACAAATTTTTGTTATATTTTGAATTTTTTACTAGGTGAATGTCCCTTTTTAACTACAAAAGGCTAGTCTAAAAAATAATGGCCCTGAAAGGTTCAGCAGAGAGTAAAACTATTTAATTGCATTTAATCCAAAATATCCTAACCTATTTGCCCATGGACTATAATTTTTTGTTTGTTTTTCCTATTCCTTGTGAAACACTGTTTTAACTGATACCACGTTCAGTAAGTTTCAGTCAATTTGCAGACATATTTTCTAGGCCTCGGTTTTCTTTAGAGACTCTCCTAAAGATCCCAGTTAATATGCAGGAGGCCAAGGACAGAGACCAGGGACATGAATAACACAGAGTCCTGGGACTTTGCCAGTCAGCGTTCACATTTGCAGCTCCTTCACAAGTACACGGCCAATTCCCTTACTGACAAGCAGAAGGGACGTGGCTCCTGTAGGGTAAAGTACAGCCTGAATTGTGATCTGGATGACTGCCTGCAGACTGATCTATTCCTGGGCTTGTTGTGTATGAGAAGCAGGGGTGGGGGTAGGAGTGGACAAAGCTGATAGGTGATGACCGTAAACAGAGCTGAATGGGTAGCGTTTGTCCAACTAGGTCTCACCAGCCAGTTATATCATAAATACATATTAAAAAGTGAATGAAATATAATTTTTGCCTGTTTTTTTAGAATTAGGGTTCTGGGTAATTTTTCACATACCAAGAAGGTTTTGGTATTTTTAAAAAATTGAAATCAGTCACCAGCAGGTTGGGTTTGGAAAGACACACTTACATGGGTCTGAAGCTTGGAGCTTAGGTTTGAAGCAGTTGGCCAGGGCATTAAACCACTCACCTGGCCAATAGATGAGAGAATGAAATAAGGCTCACAGAGAACAGGAGCACAGAAGAAGAGTGAAGCAGTTTTGTCTGAAGTTCTTTAAAGTTGTATTTTTGGAAAATTCTGGGTGAGGTTTTCTGAAGACAATACCACATCATACAGTTTTGTTTATGCAGTGTGCAGACACCAAATTGTATTAACTGAAGAAAGCAGCTCTGGATGTTTATAAAACCCAATGACAAAAAGCCCTAGAGAGGTAAAGCAGGGGACCTGGGACGGGCAGGCCACTGGCTTCAGGCCACTAACTTCTGCAGTAACTGGAACCTCATCCAAAGTGCTCCTCAGTGAAAGGCAGGCATTCCCCTACTGGCTCATCTTCCAAATTCTGGGGCTCCTGAGCCACTCTTTCCTTTCTTCCACAGGCTGCTTGGTTTCTCACACTTCTCCTTATAAACATAACCTGACCTGACTGGATTGATTAAATGACTAGACTGTTACTTATATTTTATTGTATCAATACATTTTACTATTCCTGGTGATGCTCATAAATACTGATAGTCATCCCAAAACAGGGTTTTTTCATAACATCTGGTAAGACACTACTCTTTTTTGGCACCTGAAAAGAAAGCAGAGCTATATCTGTACTAAAAATGGACATGTTTCACATGTGATCCCAGAAGAAATAAGAGGTTCTTAAGAAGTATGCCAGTGGCACTAATATTCCTGCATTTATATAAGATTCGGTAGGGTATGTTTCTTGTCAGCCGACATTTGAGAATCCAAAAATATTTCAGTCACTTAATAAATACTACTGATCACTAGTTTACCAACGAGCTTTATTGTCTGTGCTTAAAAGACCATTCTAGTTTATGAACTATAGTTGAATGATTTTCAGCTACAGTTGCCTAATTGTGTGTGACTTAAATGGGACGTATGACAATCAATCAATCACAAACCACACCCTCTTTTTTTTCTGGTGTGGTAGTTTGAAAGGCAATATTTTTTCTGATCCCACCCTATAGTGATAGTACTTCTAGTATGATATTGTGATGTTTCATAAAATGCAGTGAACATAAACAACTTGTTACCTAAATAAAGAATGCATTAAAACAGAAGAACAAATAAAAGGAACTATTTTGATCTAAAGAATAAATTTTACTTAATATTTATTGGGACCTGAGTTTACTTCAGAAGTAATATAGACCGCTTCGCACTTTTTAAAGTAACATATAATGTCTATTATTTCTAGAAAGGAAATTCATATCATATGGACTATATAATCTAAATATAAAATAATGTACATCTATAAATCTAATATTGCCATTAATTCTGTTATGTAGCAACCTACCTATTTACACTGAATTTCAATTGCCTTTGCTCTTTAACACAGGGTTCTCGTTTTGAGTATATGGCTTAAATTTTTTTTATCACCCACCTGCATAATAAGAGAATGTTCGCTTGTTCCGATCAAAAACAAACCAACGTTTTTTCCACGTTTTAATTTTCCCACCCATTTTGATGAGGAATCCTCGGCAGGTCTTCTCTGTGATTGATACATGGTAACAGGTGTCAATATTGTGGCCAGCAGTCTCTACATGGCTCCGCAAATCAAAGTCTTCCTTCCGGACAGGCAGGTAGCGTGTCAAAGGACGAGCCTGGAAAAGTGCAAAACTCATTGCATCTATAGCTATTTGTTTTGTTTTAGGTCACAGACGTTTAGAAGCAGAAATCAACTGTAAAACCTAAGCTTTAAAATGCCCATATGATTAAAAGAGCTTAAGATAAACAAAGCACTTACCATTTGGAGTCTAAAAAGTGGATAGGATTTTCAGAAAGATGCTGTAATATGTAGGGGAGTGGTAGATAAATTCAGAGACCTGATTCTATTCCTTAAGATGGGCAGTTGAGAAAATGAAAAATGGTCATTTATCGTAGTGTAAAAGATGTACTTTGCTCTTAACAAACACAGAGTAATAAAGTATGAAGTTTTCTGGGCTGCTCCTTGCAGATGAGGACTGTTTCACTGCTAAGTTTCCAGAAGTTGTCTGTGCCACAACTTAACAATCATTCTCAAGTAATCTCAAGCATGACATGATTGATTGAACACTATTTAGTAAGTACGGCCCCCACAGGATCCCACAAAGCTGTACTTGTCAGTTTACATATATTCCGATAGAAATTGACAGCAGAGGTTTATATTTTGAAAAGTAAAGCTAAAATAAAGACAGAAGTGGAATCAAAACGACCTAATGTAATGAACTGTCCAGGACCAGATGCCAAAGGGATGTATTTAGATGTCTTTCATGTTACTGATGGCTGGTATGAAAGCTCCTCCAATGTAGGAAGCATGTATCTCCATGGGTGATAGTTCTAAAATGGTGTCTTATTTTACGCTGTTAAATAACTCCACCTCTTTGCCTTGGGGAAATGATCTAACTACATACTTGGAGGCAACACTTATAATCAGGATTAAAATAGAACTGTGCTTTTTGGTTTGACTTCAGATAGTAAACAAGCATGGATGACTTTCACTGCAAGTCAAAATTTGGCACAGGGTTGGGCATGATGAAATAAAATAAACAAATTTTACTTTCTACTTTTCCTTCAATACTTAACGTTTGATTGTGTGGCACTTTGGTTGTAACAGATGCTACAGGCTTACTAATACCTCAAAACACACAAAGTCTTAAAGATAGTCTCTAACTGCTATACTATCAAACGGCCAGCAACCACAAAGAATAAAAGTAATGGTATCTTTTGCCTTTGAGTCTAGCGAATCTTGATAAAATGGAGTTGAGCTTTAAATTACATAGTACTTAACAAAACTTTATGTTAGTTTCTCAGAAAACATATTATGTAAGCAGCTATAGTGACAAGAACAGAGATTCAAAATCTACGATGACCAAGATAAGACATTAAACAAAATGTGTGGTTTCTCCAAATTTTGCTTGAGTACAAGCTTGTTCACAGGTGTGGAGGCCTAGTGTAGCAAAGAGGAACACGTGTTACAATACAGCGCTCAGAAAAAAAAACAAAACACTACCACCACGACCAAGACACTGGGCATGGTGAAAAATCACCCTGCTCTAGATTGTTTGCTTGTAAAAGACGGCTTGGTAGAACCTCTTCCATTCCCCAAGCAAAGGTTTCAGTTGTATTTGTTTTCAGCAGCAAATCCAGTTGCATTTTTAAAAGCTGCTCAAAAAAATAATTCTCTTTTTAAAATGTACTCCAAGGAATGGGTGGAAGAAAAAGTGCTGCTCCATGCAAAATGTTCCATGCATGACTAAGGAAAAGTGTCATTTGGTTGGTGGTTTCCTAAGAGTTTTGAAATGAACTCACATTTTTTTTTCTTTTCACAGGAATGCACACTCTTCTCTTAACCTGTACATGTCAAGTGCTAATGCTCAGTGCCCAGGAAAGCATCCTCAGACACAGAATAGCTGTCTTCTAGGAACTGCCACCAGGGGGCAACCTGCCCTTATCCATTCAGATTGACCAACCAACCTGTGCCCTTTGTTTCTCCCTTATTTTTACTTCCTTTTCTATTAACTTCTGCCTCTGGCTAGTTTCTTCCTGTAATCGTTTTTCCAGGATTTCCCGGCGTCGTTTTTCTTCTTCTAGGGCTCGTTTTTTGGCTTCCATTTCCCGTTCCTAAACATTATGCATAATAATGATTATTTTAAGACATACTGGTTATACTTGAATGGTTCCAACCAATATAAAAAAGATAATTCTTACTAGACAAATCTTAGTTTGTAGACTAGTCTCTTATAATACATAACCTACAAGAAAACAACTCATAACCATGCCTGGTATAGCTTCCAAAATCATCATCTGCAGAAATGCAACCACTAAATTTAATTAACAATTAAATTGTGGTCTTTAGTGAAAATCCAGCTTGCTAATATATTCAGTTATTTCATCATTTCATATCAACCAGCAAGTCTCCCATTTTAAATAAAAAGCCTCACAAACTGTCCCCAGCACTTATCATGTGATTTAGCCTGTCTTTTGACTACTGTCTTCTAACTGAAGGCCATGGTCCCGCTAATTCCTGTTGTTGCTCTGTAGCTTCCTGGCTGAAGGTCACAGAGGAAGCATATGGGGAAGTTAGAAAAGGAAAGGAGGTGCCCATTAGGGCAGGATGCAAAAGCATTTTGGGGGATTCCTAAGGAAGTCAGATTCTGACTTGAAATACAGTCATAATAACGTGGGGTTTTAAATATTACAATAGTGCAGTTAGCACAAGCTGGGAAGGATGAAATAATGCATAAAGACATGGCATTCCTCCCTGCTCCTTGGCAGGAACACAAAGCAGCCATCAAAAACAACAACAACAAAAAACTACAAGCGTTCATTTTGGTCTATGTCAATACTATATATTTCAAGTTATGGGAAATCCACTGCAGTAGAGAGCCTTAGAAATCATCTAACACCTTTATTTTTCAGATAAGAAAATGAGACTGAGAAAGGTTGAGTGATTATTCAAGATCACACAGCTCCTTAAGGAGGAGTATTGCCTGATGCCAAGCGCAGGGCTCCTGCACCATGGTATTACAGACCTCCGGCATGAACATATGAAGCTTACCCTGGATTCGAGCAGCCGCGTCCTTTCTGCATGAGCCTGCTTCAAAAGTCTCTCCATTTCTTCTATTCTAGCAATATTTGAAGTGCTGGCACTGAATCAAAAACCAAAGCCTTTTAAGAATATTGGTTTAGACTGAGAAATCTCTCTAATATATACACAAACACACACACACACACACACACACACACACACACACGGGGTCAAGGGAGGTGCATGATAAAATCCAAGCATACATAATTTAAAGAATGTTACTTACGAGTCATTGGACCGAAGAGGCAAATCAATTCAACTCTGAAAATTGTAGGTTACACTGACTTACCTCAGTTTAGAAGACAAAATAGAGGCAAGCAAAATAATGCCAATGCTTTACTCATAGGTAAATAAACCAAAACCAAATCTTACAAAGTGTGAGTTCTAAATGCTCCCTCCAAAGTCTAAAAATAATGGCCCATGAGAGTCCTTCCCATTAGTTTAATGACTTAAAGATATCAGACCAACAAGACTATCACCAACGTTCTATATAAATGACTGGAGCCTATATAATGTTCTTCAGTTGCGGAATATATATTATGAGCTACTTTTTGTTGTCCCTTTATATATGTGGACACTTCATTTATTAAATTATGATGCCAATTAAAACATGACTTCTCCTATAGGTGCAATGGATGGATAGCACCCAGTTTTGTGAAGAGTACCCCCTCATGATAACAATCAGAAAACTGTATAAAGAGATTTAAGAGGTTCAAAAGAAATGATGAGAAAGATATCACTCGAGTGAAAGATGAAACCAAAGGTAGAGAAAGGTGCAAGAACAGTCAAGGTAACTAAAAGACAAAGCGAAAACTTGAAAATGTTTAACACAAAACAGGAAATTTTATTTTCCACTTGCTTACATTCTAGTTGACTGTTCTGGAAAAGAGAGACTATAACCTAGGTCAAAACTTACTTACTTTGCTATTTCAGCTACGGGGACCATATGCTGTTTCTAATGCATGTTACTTGTGTACTCATTTAAGTACCTGTCTTCTTTACTAGACTCTCTTGAGGACATACAGACTTTCATGCCTGTATCCCTATAGCATAGAACCTGACACAGAGTAGGGATACGTTTGTTAGACACATTCATATAAAAATAAATTCATTAAAAATTCATATAAAAATGAAAAATCAGAGCCCTCTTGGTTATAGATAATTATTAATATAGTATTCTCAAATTATATTTTTGCAAATCAAACCTAGGATGGTTTAAATCTAGGGTTAAGAGTTCTATCGAAGAGAACACAGGGCGTACAGTTTATTCTATAATCAGTACTGACAGCCCCATTACAAAACACATCCATTAAGGAGTGAACTGTCTGAGGAATATCGGATCCTTATAAGCTTAACAATTAGTCTGCACTTGGCAGAGTAACCTTGGACCACTTTTTAGCCAAGTGTTTTCTCCCACATGAAAGAGAAGAATATGGCAATATCTTCTCATTATTTCCATTAGCCAGTGAGGAGATACAAAAGAGTAAGCTCTGTTCTCTTCAGCTAGCAAGAATCCAAGGGAAAGAAATCTTTTAATTTTTGTACAGGAATTCTTATTCTCCTTCATTGTGAATACCTGACTTCATGGATGGAAGGGGATAAACTTCATTGGTCCAATTGAGAAAGCCAAAGACATGCATGCAGGACATATAAGGGCACCAAATTATATTTATATTCTACAGTGTAGTTTGTGACATCAAATATGTATGTTTTATATCTCTCATTAATTTGAAAATAATTTGAATTTCACTAAGTTTCAGGTCTTGAAAACTCACCAGTTAGTCAGAACAAACTCACCAATAGCCTAATGCCCATTTATCCCTTTTTTTCATATAGTCAATGTTTACTGAGATTTCACCGTTTACCATTTTCTTTGCTTACATGTCTTCCCTCTTCCCCCCACCATGAGGTTTATTGAGCATACAAATACTTGACAAACAAAATTTGTATGTATTTATAGTATACAACATGGTGTTTTGATGTATGCATATATTGTGAAATGATTAGTACTATCAAGCTAATTAATGGGGCTCACTTCTGTAATCCCAGCACTTTGGGAGGCCAAGGCGGGCAGATCACCTGAGGTCAGGAGTTCAAGACCAGCCTGGCCAACATGGTGAAACCCCATCTCTACTAAAAAGAAAGAAAAAAAAAATTAGCCGGGTATAGTGGTGGGTACCTGTAATCTCAGCTACTCATGAGGCTGAGACAAGAGAATTGCTTGAACCCGCAAGGCAGAGGTTGCAGTGAGCTAAGATTGCACCACTGCACTCCAGCCTGGGCAACGGAGTGAGACTCTGTCTCAATAACAATAATAATAATAGGAACATGTTTATCACCTCATGTGGTTGCCTTTTGTGTGTGTGTGTGGTGAGACACATTTGTCCCTTAATTCTTTCTATGATAGCACTATTGCAGAATGGTAATTCCTAACAAGTAGTTATGTGTGGCCATGATCATCTTCCATAGTTGCTTTGCACAAAACTAACTCTGTGGTGCTGGCAACTGCAGATAACTAATCCCCATGGTCAGAAACTACTAATATTTAATGTCATCGTCTTACGAGATCTTCTGAATGTCAAAAAATTAAAGCCAAAGTAGAAGATGCCTGTAAAAGCTGGAATGCAAAGGGGAGAGAAAAACAGGCATTTCTCTTCTATACCACCATCAACTTTAAAACAAAATGCATGATACTCTAAGATAAGCTCTTACCATTATGATGGAAAAATAAGTGATAAACACCAGGGAAGCAGGTAATGAGGAACTAATGTTTAGAATGTGTATTGTGACAAAGCATCCTTAATTGGAAATTTTTTGCAGATTGGTAGAAAGAAGAGTAAAAAACTAAAAAATCTTTTCTGCTTAAGATTCGTTTTTAACTCGTGTACTAAAATATCCCCAAATTATAAGCCTATTAATGAGGTAATTCCATGCTGAAATTCTGGTTGCATAAACTTGGTCTCGTGGTTTATTATGTAACAAAAAAATATTTGTAGGATGATAGGATTACTCAGAGTTGTGGGTACGTTCGCCCTTCACTTTTTGTGGAGACATCACTTTGTGACTACCAGAAAGTTACATGAGTTGGACAGTGTTTCTGCTTTTTCAATATCATTATTTACAGTGTAGACAAACATAATGCTCAGAAAATAGGTCTTGGGTCATAGAAAACGGACAATTGAGAGTCAATTCTGCATAAAATCTCCATTCTGCTAAAATTATTAAACTGGCTTATAGAAGAGTATTCTGAATACTACCTACACTGATACTTCTTATTACTATTATCATTATTAACTTACTAAACCCTGACTTTGTGCTTATCCTTTGAGAAAATGTTAAGAACCAGTACAGTCAAAGGCACAGAGATCTGAGAGTTCTTCATTCTCTCAATCCTTAAGCTCTGAGAGGTGTACCAGGAGAATGAACAGGAGCTGGGTTGGACCTAGAGTGCCAGGTTCTAGGATCTGAGAGTAGGTAGTGGGACATCAGAACTTTAGAAAAGGAGGAGTACCATGGCCACATTTATATGTTAAGACCACCTTTGCTTGTCTCAAAGTATAAATACAAATGTGAATACTTAAATCCTTACAAAAATTTTAACATACAGGATAGCAGAAAGCTTCCTTTTAACAAATACAAGGGTAAGAAATCCTCCAAAGTTCTGACTGTAGTTGGAAATTATTTCTTTTCTTTTTCTTTCTTTCTTTTTTTTTTTGAGATGGAGTTTCGCTCTTGTCCAGGCTGGAGTGCAATGGCGCAATCTTGGCTCACCATAACCTCCACCTCCCTGGTTTAAGGGACTCTCCTGTCTCAGGCTCCTGAGTAGCTGAGATGCGCCACCATGCCCGGCTATTTTTTGTATTTAGTAGAGACAGGGTTTTACCATGTTGGTCCGGTTGGTCTCAAGCTCCTGACCTCAGGTAATCCACCCACCTAGGCCTCCCAAAGTGCTGGGACTACAGGCTTGCGCCACTGTGCTGGGGCCTTCTTTTTTAAATCAAAAGCAGCATAAGTGAAGCTTAGAGCTAACCAACAGAAGGAAGTCAATTTTAGAGCACAGTGTAAATTTGAGCTCAAGTGGAGAAAAACAGGATAAAGGTGAAAACAGATTATATGATGCCTGACTAGCTAAGTTACACAAGATAAGAGAAACTACTTTCAAAGGTCATCATGATACCAACCCTCTTCTGCATTATAGACCCTTTATGTCTCAAAAATTTGGGCTTGTGCATATACAGTTCCCAAAGTGATGGCTTTACTTGTTGTGAGCAGTAGGCTCTTTCCTTCCCCATAAATAAATCTTACCTAGAGATGTTGTCAGGTGAGCAAGCAGAGATGCTGGTCTCCATGCTATCAGAGCTATCTAGGCTCAAAGTATCAAAGGCCTGGTCCTTGTAGCTGTGATCTGGATAATGGAAACTATTCAAGTAGACATTTGATTCAGATGCTGTGCGGTTGTAAAATTCAGATTTCTGCCTGTGTCCTTCACTCATCTGTTGGTGATTATAACCTAAGGAAAGAGCCATAAATACGTTAGTGTGCCTCATTTTTCAGTCTTTGAAACTTAATTGTCTACAGACACAAGCCAGCAACCAGAAACATCTGCCTATGAAGCTTGGGCCTTGGTCTAATTTGTTTTGAAGCCAAGAAGATCAAAGAAAGACCGCCATGCTCAGTGCAAGCAACAGTTTGAATGAAGTGGTCTGCTGAATCTCTTATCCCTCAGCAGGATCACTTGACACTTTCCTATGGCATTCCTACATCTCAGCACAACCAGCAACACACAAACACAAAATAAACCAAACAGAAACACAATCAAAAGCCCTGAATCCTCTCGAAATGGCTGTGTTCAAGTGAAAATAAGATGCCTTCTAGTGACAAGCAAAACCAGGGTTTTAGGGCAAGCACTTCTTCAACGGTATTCAACTTAAGGAGCACTCAGTCTGGTCATAAAACAGCAGGTGGAATCTTTCAAGTGTAGGGTTTGAGAAACTCGTATCTCATATCATCACTGACACTTTTAATCTTGTTAAGATCCAAACTACACATTTTTCTCATTTTCTCTCTCTTTTTCAGTTGTTCTTGTCTGTCAATTACTTATTTAATTCAGAGTCAACATTCCTTCCAAAGATTGTGCTCCTCTAACTACCCTAGCTCTCTTCTTTTCCCACCATAACAATCCACCTTCCACAAGCTGTTGATAACAACCATTTGAAAATGCAGGCATCAGTAGGATGAAAAGCACCATAAATAAGAGGTCTTTTCTTTATTTTTTATTTTTATTTTTTGAGACGGAGTCTTGCTCTGTCACCGGGCTGGAGTGCAGTGGTGCGATCTCAGCTCACTGCAACCTCCACCTCCTGGGTTCAAGCAATTCTCCTGCCTCAACCTCTCGAGTAGCTGGGACTAGAGGCGTGCACCACCATGCCCAGCTAACTTTTGTCTTTTTAGTAGAGGTGGGGTTTCACCATGTTGGCCAGGATGATCTCGATCTCTTGACCTTGTGATCCACCCACCTCGGCCTCCCAAAGTGTTGGGATTACAGGCGTGAGCCACCGCGCCCGGCCAAGAGGTCTTTTCTTTACCCTGGTGCTCGATCAGCTGGCACAGTAGGTTATTGCCTTTACCTTGTGTTATTGCTCTGGCTTGCTCTCTGATCACTGATTTAGGGCATTACGAGTCAAATTTTCTTCTTTTCAATTCTCTATTTATTATATACTCAGGAGCAAGCACCATATTGATTAACAAATTCCTCAATTCATTAAAAAACTTTTCTCTAGCCAGTACTAGAATTTGTAATCTCTTTCTCCCTGATAAGAGAATGTCTACTCGAATAGTTTCCATTACCCAGGGAGTTATTAACAGAGCTATTCAGAGTTCACAACTGGACCATTTGAATTTCCTCTTTTTTTGTGCTCTACCTACCTTTCAATGAACGTTTTAGTAGCAATGAAATGGTCAATAGTAGGCAAGAGGATGAAAGAAGAGAAGTAATTCTCAATGCTTTCTCAGCTACTGATTAAACATTTCCATTTTAAAATAGAAGCCACATCCATGATGCCTTAACAAAGCATTATATCTCAAAATTTCTGTAAAATGGTTTTAATTTCATGCAGAGTGTTCATGCCATTAGTATTTGGAGTGGTTTTAGATATTTAAGTGAAAATAGGTTATTTCAGATTAAGACATTTCTGGGAAAATAAGTTACCTTAATATAATCGGCCATTATAAATTATAAATACTTATATATATATATATTTTAAAGTCACATAGCATTTAGCTAAGGGAAGATGCAAAACATAAAAGCACACCACAAGACTAAACAGAATGTCATGAATTATAATGATCAATCCACACAGCATGAAATGAAGCTGGTATAGTCATATGAGTGAAGCTGCGCCTTTTTTTAAGGAAGGCAAAATAATTCATTACTCAAATATTTACCTTTGACACTTGAACTTTTGGAATTACTAATTGCTCCTTTTAAGTTGTTTCCAATTATTTATTATGCAAATGACAAAAAAACACAACAGAAATTATTTGAAAAGGTCACACACGTATATTTTCTTATGATTTCAAACAAAGATTTGTGGCATAGAAAAGTTTCACATTGGCACCAACTACATGGAAGGTATTTCCTTGTAGTATGGAAAACAAATCCCTAACCGACAGCCACGTAATTTAAAACATAGAAGAATTATCTCTCTGGCATTGAGTGACATTGCCCCAACCTCTTCTTCTCCCTGAGTTTTCCACATTGAGGAAAAACCAACCCGTATGAAGTAACTACCACCCTCTTGGAAAAGCAGGAAAGGAGGTGAGCATATTTCTTAAAGCAACTGTATGTCTTGCTCCTCAGATCTTCCAGGGTTGTGTTTTTTGTTGCTGTTGTTGTTTTTTGGCTACTTTTCCAAAAGTACCACAGAATAATGAAATAGAACTTATGAGTGAAGGAGATAGTAAACTAAAATGACTCAGATGTTTCAGGTGAATGTAGAAGGGCCAGCTACATTACAATTTGTACTGTGCTAAGGGCTGTGAACGTTAATTCCCCAGACCAACTCACAAGTTGTTGAGATCTGACTCTACGACTGAATCTCCCAGTCATTCTGGTGATAGGATAAGCATTTTACATTTCCATGGCAACTTAAACGAAAAACCACGAGGCCAATAATAAGCATCTCTTTCCCAACCCAGGATTTTTATTTCCCATGAATCCAATGTGAGTGGAAAAGTTCACCTCATGGAGCTACTCATTTCTGTCTACTGGTAACACTTTACTGACCACAGTGAACGCCACTGTCACCTGGCCTAGCTTCCTCCCTGCTGAACAAATGCCCCCAAAACAGGTAACCCCTGCAATTATCAGTACGGGCATGGGCCCCTCTCCTGTGATCCTGCAACTGAACCAGTGTGATTCCAAAGAGCTCATTTTGGGATTCAGGCTCTGGCCTGGCCATCCAAAGGCATAGATATTTTAAACAGAGGAAACATCGTAGAAGATCAGGGGCTGGGTAAGCCGGTAGGAGGCCCAAGGAGAGATACCGATGCAGTGAAGGAACACTAGAACAGCAGGAAACTGGTCTAGGCCTCCACTCTCATGGAAGCTTTATCAGGAAAGGGGATGCAGATGTCCTGTGCACCAGTTTACCCCCATTTATTTAGCACGTGGATGTCATAAGATAAACAGTCACTGAATGAATTTATCTTTTCATCTATATATTCTATATAAATAATCAAATAAGGAAGTGGAATGCATCTACTTTCTGAGTGGGAGCAAAGAAACTAGATTGGGAAAAATGAGACTTTCCCAACCCCTGAGACTATTTGGTTTCTATTTTTTAATTATGTAGCAAGAATAACATTAATCAGTGGGAAAGCAACTGAGACAGTAAAAAGGGCCTTGAACATGCTCTAAATTCTTCCTATCCAGACAGAAATAGCTGTCTGAAGGGGTAGTTTATAAGGTGTATAAAGCAAGAGCTAATTGAGGCTTGTTGCTAATCACAGCCACACAAGGAACCCAAAATCAGCTCAGCTCTTCACTGCCTGGGAGAGCCAAGAGACCAAATGTGCAAGGCCCATTTATTATTATTATTTTTAATGCCGGTCTCTATTAATTCTGGCTAATCAGACCTGAAAGTCTCTTGTGAGTTAACGATTACACAATGTGTAGAGTCCTGCCGATACATTCCCAATATATGGTATATACTTTTACACGGCTATCTGGGCTGTAATATGGAAAGTAAGATGACTAAAAGTATAACCTGGGGTTAAGAGGATAAAATTAACCAGTATTTCTGTCAGTTCAGCCTGTCATAGCTCACCTGCTGAGGAATTCATTCTTCCTAATGACAGTCCACAGCCAGAAGAAGACGGCACAGGACAAGTCAGGAATGAAGAAGGAGAATGGTTGTAGAAAGGGAAAAAGATAAAAGATCAAAAAGGATGACAAGGGGGCAGGAAAAATATTCAACACTCCCAACATGCACGCATTGATGGTGTTAGTTACAATACCAAATTAACAAGGTATGATGTTCACAGTTTCAGATTAATTCTCAGTTTACAGAGAAAAACTCAAGAAACCTTAAAAAAATTTGATACATGCATAGTCAAAAGAGATTGTTACAAGACAAATAAATCTTTCACACATATTCATCAACCAGAAAATAGGAAGAATAAAAACAGATTTTATCTATCAAACAATTCCTTTTCCAAACAGACAGTAGCAAATAGTTTTTAAGAGCTCAGGTTTGTAAAACGCCATTCAATTATTTGAAGCACAGTTCATCAAGTTTTATAACACACCGTCTAACATCCTATATCTCTACCACCTAGCCACACGAAATAACCATCTTACCTATTCGAGTCAATCATTTAAACTATACTTCACTCTCCACTAAGTCTTTCTTAGAAAACAGGCTCCAGTGAAATGAGTAAGTAGGAGCTTCCTAAATGCTTTCATCCTTTGACTGTAGCCTGCCTTATTTATACCTGTCCTTGATAAAGGAGAATCATGGTTTACACTTAGCTCATATACATCACAATACCGTCTATTCTCTTTATACAGATTCTGAATCTTACAAAACAATGCTTCCACAGCATTCATGTTTCCTGCAGGGTCTGACCTTGCCATTAAAAGCCAAAACAAAGAGGGTCATGCAGCTGCCAGTGAACCAACAGCAGCTGCACCCAGCATTGTGTTTCTTGCAAATGTACAACAATTTTTCTCTATTGTATAAAAGAAATAATCATTAGACTAAAAATCCACCACTGCACAGTGTTAAATCCGATCATTTCTTAAACACGACTTGACAATGACCTTTCAATATTTGCTGGAAACAAAAACACCACACAAGGAGGTTGTCATACCTTTCTTGGACTTTCCTGTATTTAACAAAAACAAAAGGACAAAGATTTCATTCATCCTAAAGCTGACAAAGGAATCGTTCACAAGATGTTCACAAGCCAATAACCATTCCAACTTCAGAAGCTGAGTTTCTCAGCTCTGTCTTAAACTCTCCCCTCAAAGTTCTTTGCACGACTCACGCTGTCAGTTCTATTAACAGTGCTGATTGAGTAAGGCTTATACTTACACCATCATCCTTGATGTATCCATTATGAATAGCAGCAAAAAAAGGTGTATTTAAGTTAATTGTGTAAGTTTAAAAGATGATTAAGTCTACTAAATGTGAGTTAATGAAAATATGCCAGGTATAATTTTTTTTCAAAACCATAGAATTTTACTTGTATTTGCTATTTTAATAAAGTTAACAAGTGCTATTCAAACAATTCTAAATGAAATTATGATCCATCCCTCCTGGTTTTTTCATGAGTCACCAGTTTGGGCTGTGCAGAAAATCCTGCCAGTTTTACAGTCTACTGGGGCTCTAAGAACGATAGATCCTGATTTCTCCTCCTCTGGGTAGGGGAGCCAAACTTAGAGAACACATCTCTTTGGACCAACACACATATGATGGTTCTCTATTTCCTCAGAAGCTGCCCCATCAACATTACATGAAACTCTTCAAGAGGAACAGCACTTTACAGTTACAGCAGAGAAAGACTGAAGTTGCAGTCTCCTCAGCTGCATAAAAGACATATCAATAAAGAACAAGAGCACGAAAGATAAAGATAGATTTGATTTTGCAGCGGGAACATCAGTAATGTGGCCGAAGGGAATTAGCGCAGTTTTCCCCTATGAAACTGGCCTGGGATTCCCATTACTTTAGGGGAAAACAGATTAGAATAACTGAGATCAAACCTTCCCTCGGTTTCACCATATTCTCACAAGAATCCTCTTAAATGATAATGTTAATGGCTCTTCAATTTTGCAAATCTATTCATCTACTATAAAGGTCTAGCTTTTCTTACTCTTTGAGAAAATACTTTTATGTATTCATTTGTTTTTTGAAACAGGGTCTTGCTCTGTTGCCTAGGCTATAGTGTAGTGGCATGATCGCAGCTCACTACAGCCTCAACTCCCAGGCTCAAGCGATCCTCCTACCTCAGCCTCCTGAGTGGTTGGGACCACAGGTGCATGCCACCATGTCTGGCTAATTTTTAAATTACTTGTAGAGATGGGATCTCACTATGTTGCCCAGGCTGGTCTCAAATTCTTAACTCAAGCAATCCTCCCTCCTCAGCCTCCCAAGGTGCTGAGATTATAGGCATGAGCCACCAAACCTGGCAAGGAAATACTTTTAACAAGGAGTATAATAATTTGTGATCCCATCCTCTTTCCCAAATGCTTGCTCTTTCTCTTAAACACCTGAAGGACATGAAAATGCTTCATGGTCTTTATTGGTGTTGTGGCCAATCTAAGCTTCGATGTCTTCCGACGGTGGGAAAAATATATTTAAAAAGAAGTCTAATACACGCCTGCAATCCCAGCACTTTGGGAGGCCAAGGTGGAAGATCACTGAAGCCCAGGAGGTCGAAACCAGCCTGGGAAACATGACAAAAACCCATCTCTGCCAAAAAATACAAAAATTAGCCAGGTATGGTAGCACACACCTATAGTTCCAGCTTACTCGGGAGGCTGAGGTGGGAGGATCACTTGAATCCAGGAGGCAGAGTTTGCAGTGAGCTATAATTACACACCACTGCATTCCAGCCTGGACAACAGAGTGAGACCTTGTCTCAAATATTTATATGTAAATATTACAGAAAAATGTTTCAACAGCAAATAGACTTGACCCACAACTTAACAGTGATAAATGAGAGCCAAAATAGACTCATATATGTTTATTATTTATAACTATTAAAAGAATATTTTTAGCTTATTAAGAAATTATGGCAAAGAAAATAAACTAGTTTAATCAGTGTATTTGATTCAAATATTACCACTGCAAATGTCTCTCACATATTACAATCCTATTATGAATACTATACCCTCTAATTCTTAAATTGCCTTTAGTAATGGTTTGAAAACCTCGTTCCAGTGAGAGAGAGAGAGAGAGAGAGAGAGAGAGAGATCATATATACACACAATACACATTATGTTCACATACATATAAATTTATATATGTATATGTAGTATATATGTATTATATATGTGTGTGTGTGCGCACACATGTGTATGTATGTATGTGTGTGTGTATATATATTTTCTCCTGGTGGAAAACCAGCGTTATCTCTCAGCACCATTGGCAGAGAGGCCAAACAGCTAGAATTGAATTCCAGCCTGCTTAGAAGGGAGGATTTGAATCCCATCAATGCATGAATGTATTTGAAGGTCAAATGCCTGCTATCCCCAAAGCATTTCCATTTACAACCTGGGCATACTGCCATTATTCCATTTACCACATTTTATTGAAATCATCTGTTCTGTGTCTTTCTTCCTCACTAGACTACAAGTATTTCAAAGGCAAGCTTCCTATCATTAATTTGCATTCTTGGTACCTAACATCATGCCTGCTCAAAAGTTAGGACAATGTAACTTGTTGACTTAAACTATTGTGTTAACACAAGAAATCTAATCCTCTCAGTGAGAAGCTTAGCCCTGGAACTATGTTACAGTAATTTCTTCTAGCCCCATGAAGACTATCTGAGAACCCCATTATAAATGTAATGTATTATTACAAAAAAAAAAAAATGCTGAGAGTCAAAGTCTACCTGAAACATAACAACTATGAAGTATAAAAGCTCAAATCTACATTAAAAGGCCTACAAGAATTCTGTTCTGGGCCACTACTGCTATATTTACCGTGTCAGCTCAAAGATTCTTTAGCACAAAGTTCATTCAGCTTAGTGGCTCTGACACAACCCAGGTGAGTGATCTTGGTTAAGTGTCCTGGTAATCTCCTTGGATCTCACTGGTCTCTCTTTTCTTTCTATTAATCAAATGGGAAGGTTAGTAATTCTCTAGGGGTCTTTCTGGTTTAAGAGTTCTATCAAATCTAAAAAGTACAATGGGAATGTTTAAAATATACCAGCTATATGTATAAATAGGAAAAGTTATTTATCCTTCCCGAAAGAGAACACATTAAGAGTAAAATTAGGCCTTTGGCTGATCCCTCTTCTAATCATCCCTACCCGTTCTCACTTCCTCCCCCTGAAGAATTCTAATGCTTAACAAAAGGCCATGACATTTGATTGAAAAGGCACGTACCTCTGAGCATCCTGCGAGATTCTGAGTCTTTGGCCATGGCTGCCAGTGAGGGAGGGAGCACACTTCCACAGCTGTTACTCTGTCCCAGGGGCACGTGGGCCTGTGGGAAGCAGGAGGGAGTACTTCAGGCAAGCTGCAGGCTGAATGGACCTTTAGGAAATGGCCACATCCCTGTTTCCAAAGCTCCTATCTAAGTGTACAGGGCAGAGAAGGTAGGTCTTTGAATTACATTTGTTGATGCTAAGTGGTAAACGCCAGTTACTGGCCCTCCCGAGAAGCACCAGGGTAGTCGCAATATCACAGTACTTCCTCCAACAGCAGCAATTCCAAAAGTGAAGGCAGTTGGGGAAGACACTGTCCAAAATCACCTGAAAGAATGGCTGAAAGTTCTTCATGCATAAGGAGCAGAGGGCAGATGCAGGGCCAAGAATGCATGCGCACCATGCACAAGAACAGGGAAGAGCTACTCTTGTTACAAATGTACCGATTTTTATTTATCCTCAGTTATGTGGTGGGCTGAACCTGAAGAAATCTATTAACACTCTAATGGTTTCAGCATTTTTTAAAAAAATAGCAAAATCTTTCCTGTAGATAAAATATACGTGAAACACACATTTATAAAACAGATTAAAACAAAGTTACTCTGATTAAGGGTAGGGGAAGGGCTCAAAAGTCTGTCTCATTCAGAACCTCCTTCACACCTGCCTCTTCTCTTTCCACAATGATCCCCTCAGGCATGTTGGCAGAACGTGAGGGAGCTCTGGTGTCAGGTCACATAGGTTCACATTCCACTCCACTCCACACCAGCTGAGGGTTCCTTGGTTAGTCACTTAACCTTATACACTTCAGTTTATCCGTACATACAAATGAGATAATAATCAGTACTCTACTGCCTAGTGCTGCTGGGTTTTCAAATGAGGCAATCCACATAAAAGACTCAACCCAGCATCAGCCACATGAAAATGTCTGAATAAATACTTGTTGCTGTTATTCCTGGAACACAGAGGCTATATCCTATCTTATTTCCAGATGTGGGACGCAGCCATGGAAGTCCGTCATGTAAGTGAATGCCATTCATCACCTGGGTTGTACTGGTAGAAAATACCCTGAAGCATGTTCTTTGGCCCCAGAGCATACAATTTCAGATGTCCTCTGAACAGGTAGAAAATGCGATTTAGTCCTGATGTCTGCCTAACAAGTAAATTTAATGATTATTTAGCACTTTTCTTTAAAGGCCTTTACACATCAGTGAATATGATGACAAGAAGACTCATGGAATGGGAAGCCCGTGGTTTCTCCCATGTCCTACCTTTGGGGTGATGCTTCTCCCCATAGTAGCACTGCTGAAATGTGGGGAGATGGAAGTTGTGGTTTTCTTTCGAGGCAAAGTATCACTCAGATAGAGGCCTTCTTTATGCTGTTTTTTCCTTTCTTCCAGACTTCTAAAGTGCTTTAAATGCAAATGTAAAGCAAAATAGCAAAACTTGACTAACTGTAATAGGTGACTGAAGAAATGAAGAATTATGCATTTACAAAAAAAAGGGAATTTTAGAATTTTTCTTAAAGTTATTCAACATACACTGTGTTTGCTGATAGATTTGAGCTAATATTTGATTAGATACTAAACACTGCAGGAATTTATGCTGAACCTAGAAACCTTTTAAAAATTCCACCTTTCACTTCTGTAGTGCTTGCAGCCTTGGGGCCGTAGGACAAATTACAAATTATTATGACGGTTGCCATGTGGATGGCGGAACAGCCAGTGGACAAAGCACGTAAGCACTTTCTCCCCTTCCGGGCAGTTCTGTGGGATGGCACAGATACCAGTGAGAGGAGGACAAGAAAAGGGAAAAAGGAGATAAAGAGAAAAAGCAAGTAAACAGGGAAGTTGTTTGAAAGTTGTAATAACATTTCAGTCACATAAACACACTCCAAATCCACATAAAGTTTTCCTAAAAGGCATCATTCTAAGTTACTTTTTATTTGAAAAGATATTGGCCAAGGAGCCCTTACAGTAATCGCTCACATTTAAAAATTCTCTAATGGACTATTTATTTTTTTTCAGATTTCTAAAGTAAGATTTTTGTCCACTTGAAACTTACTCAAATTTTTCTTGGCCTCCCCTTAGAAATGCCTTTAATAGTAAAATGATGTCTTGGTCAAGTGATGGGTGCACCAAAATCTCAGAAATCGCCACTAGAGAACTTATCCATGTAAGTAAACACTACCTGTTCCCCCCAAAACTATGGAAATAAAAAAGAGAGAAAAAACGCAAAAATGAGCTCAAAAATTTTTTTGTGGAAATATATTTGAAACATAGAGATAAGAAGAGAGGATAATTTAAGAGAGATTCATATTCCCACCACTCAGCTTCACTAAATCTTAACATTGCTTTATTTTTTTAAAGAAATAAAACATATATATAAAGTGATTTATTAATTAAAGATTTTTTAGGTCTGATCATTTTGAAGTCATTTTAAAAGCTCATGTTTTTGAAATGCACAAAAATTAATGCAAATTTGAGTTACCAAATTTATAAACAGTCTTCAAATATGCCAATCATAAAAATCTGCATTTTAACTTTATAATTAACTGTTTATACTAGCTAATCAATTTATTAAGAGCTATGTGCCAGGTATGATGGTTTATATACATTATCTCATTAAATTATTATAATAATCCTGTGAGGTAGGTACTGAGAAATCTGGGGTGCAGAGAAGTTAAATAAACTTGGCCAAGGTCATGCAGCTGGAAAGTGGCAGAGCTGGAATTCATGGCCAGGTAGTGCATACTAAGATGATAATAATACTTTGCAGTTTGGCTGATTAATGCTCCTTTTAGATAGAAAAATGACGTCAGAACACTTCAATCTAGCTCCCACTATGACCAAATATTATAAATTCTGCAATTCATAACTTTCCAACATTCCATAATGGTACCTTAATAAAATAGAAAAGAAATCCCAATGAAAACAGTCTAATTGAAATTTGGCAGAAAAGAGCAGATTTGTAAACTGTGATTGTTTTGCTACTAGAGATGTCTTGAATGAAGTTGCTAAAGAGATAAACCTAACATCAAAATTGAAGGCATTTAGGTCTTCCATTCTCCTTGTTTCTTCCTTGTATACATAACTTATTTCACCCACCTTTCACCAATATCCTTTCATGTCAGCCCAGGTGGCAGTAACCTTAAGGCAGTGAGAGATATAGTCCTTTAAAAAATGGTAATCGATGGTAAAGGTACCTTCAAGAAATGTAAGGGCTAAGCATGACTGACCAGAGCTCGCCTACATCAGTGCAATGACTCCTTAGGATCTTTTGGCACCAAATTCCTGCAGGTGTTTGATTATAATTGAAAGGAAGTCTTGAAACAGATTTTTTTTTTGAATACCCAAGCATTAATATACACCAAGTGTTCTAAAAGGAAGGCAACATTTAGAATAAAAAATAATTTATTTAAAAATCTGGTGAATAAAAACTAGATTTATGGACCAAGTGCACTACTTGTGGTGTGACCTTGGACAAGCTACTTAACCTCACTGAGCCTCAGTTCCCAAAACTTCAATATGGAGATAATTTTTACTTCATGGGATTGTTAGAAAGTATGTAAAGAGACACACAAATTTATAAAACAGATTAAAACAAAGTTACTCTGATTAAGGGAGTGAAGTGTTTAACAAAACACATCAAGGGAATGATGCCTATTTTGGTTTCAATTATGTGTAATAAAAATATTTTGTGTTGATAACATAACTCTTTATATATAGATTTTATGGAAATGCTTGTTAGTATTTTGAGAACTATCTGTGGTAAGTTGCAATATTTTGGTTGAATGGTAACTGAAGGATGCGGGTATACAAAGGGCTCAAACATATAAAAGCCAGTAGGGGACACTCAAGGTATCAAAACTTCACAACAATTCTAACATCCTTAAATGTTCCAACACTAAATGTTCTTAAGAGGGGGAAAAAAAAATCAGAGAAGTATGCAAGTTGCCTTTTTAAAAAATGCCTTTGGGAAAGTGGAAGAAAAGATTCCACATAAGTAACTTTGTTGCCAAGATAACATTCCCAAACTCTAAATTCCAGTTCCTAATTACCTGTTGCTCCTGCTGCTGCTGCTGCTGCCTTCTGTGTTTCTTAGCTGGTAGAGGAGGAGGTGTGTCATTTAAAGGTAAAGGATCGACAGATGTAGCCATGAATTCAGGCCATGGGGCTGATGTATGTTGAGTGATAGGATGAGAAGAAAGGGTGGAAGGAAACACAAATCCAGAATAGACAGGTGATCTTTGCTTTATAGGAGAAAGAAAAGGTATATATGTATCCACATGAAATGAAAGAATAAGACATAGAAATGAAATGGATAGTTTGTTCTGTTTTGTTATATTTTAATTAAGAAGTTACAATTGATGGGCAGTATCGTTCAATTTAGCCTCTTATTAAAATCCCACACTGTAAGCAATTTGGGTCACTGAGGTATTTTAATTTATTATTATTGGCCCCTCCCCTAGAAGGCTTTTAAAAGGCCTAATATTTAAAAGTATCCATGTTACAAAACAAAATCGAAAACAAAGTCAAACTGAAAAGGCAATTCAAATCAACAATTTTAGAAAGGCTTTTTAATTTACAAGAAAACTAAGTTGAGTTAGAGTGCTAAGACATAGAACTTATTTCTTTGAACTTACTTCTCCTAGTACTCCACTCTATAGCATAAATTTCATGGTTTCTAGAATTTTTATTGGTAGAGCATTACCCCCAAATTGGTATGCTTTATAAACTCAGCCTTACCCTACCCCTCTGGTCAGACAGATACACATTTGTCACGCACGCTCTCGTGGACCTCATTTTCAGTTGGCCGTGGGTTAATTTCTGACATGAAGAAAAGCAGTGAATGAATGAAACGTCACGCCTACACACCTCTTTACTCTGAGGCTGGCTCGCCAGCACAGCTGTGGCAGGCTCAGTGGCAACAGCATCAGCATCAGCAGGAAACTGAGTGGAAGGGGATAGATTCGTGGAATTGCCACATGGCTCATTAATCTCATTTACACTGATATAGCCCTAAAAGGAGGAATTCAGAAGTTAAACACAAAGAAAGCAAAAGCCGAGGCATGCGAGAGTATTAATGTTCCCAGTACAATGAAGTTAGCTTAGAGCGGCACAGCCAGATATCTGTGGTATTATCAAATGTTTCATTAAGGGAATACTCAGCAATTAAAATGGATTTACATTGCTTAATCTTGAAAATTGGCATTCGAAGCATTAAACATAATTTTTCTGATGCAATCAAGATAACTATATTATAAATAACCCAAAACCTTCTATTTTAAAATATCCAGAAGTATCAGCATTCATTCTGTTGATGGATTAAGGTTGTCACCACATACACATTTAAAGTAATAACACACCAAAAAATCCAAGATGTAAAATTGACAATGCAATCACTCACTCCCTAATTAAAGAGACTTTTCCACAAATCTTCATTCTTAGATTTTCACCGTTTCTGTTTCCTGATGAATTAGAGTGTGAGGAAAATGGGCTGAGGGCTACTGGGTTTTACACTAAGCAAACATTTATAAAACAGTAATTATTTATAGTGGGTTCTAGCTTTTGGGCATCTCAACCAAATGAGAATAAAAAGAACACTGTCCTTTCATGCAGGTGAGCCTTCCCTAGCAAAACAAATGTGTGCACGTGCACACACACACACACACACACACACACAGAGTCCTAAGGTGGAGTTGCAACCAGGGTATGTTTCAATTCAAGGCAGCCTCCCTAACCCCCATCTCTACCCATAGGACAGAGAATTTCCAGTTACTTTTGAACTCAATAATTCAGTTCTGGCTTCAGCTTAGAGAAAATACAAAATACCTGAGAAGCAGAACTCCTGAATCTGTGGAAAAGGCACTTGTCAATTTCCATGGAAACTATGCAGACCAATCATGATTTTCACCACCCCAATAAAACAGTGTGAAAAAACTATATAAAATAAGATCTCTCCTTTAAAGGTGAAATTGAGTTAAATTTGACACAAAGATTCTTCTACGAGTCCATCAATTCTTTTACAAATTTTAGGCTGGAAAATAAAACACCTTGATTTTTGGTAAAAACCCTGAAAGGACTGATAACAAAGTGGAGAATGCCAGAGTTGACTGTTTATAAATCGGATGTGTCAGACACTTGCACTTCAGAAGGCAGGACAGATACCATGTAGTTTTATAAGGTTAAACTGAAGAAAAGAAGTAGTCAACTAGGTCAAGTTCATTCAATATGTAATACTGAATCAGAAAGAAAATGAACAATTTTGGGTTTTTCTTTTGCTCAGTTAATAGTAGACTGTTTTGAAGCCAAGTTTTAATTATTTATGTGAGTCATAAACCATACAACTTAATTAACTGCTTCAAAAATGTAAACTGCTTTAAAACCTGGGAGGTCTTTAAAATAGGTTATAAATCAATCACCCCTTTAAAAAAGAAAAAAGAGAGAGAATGAGAGAGGAGGAGAAAAAAAAAAAGAAAACCATCTTGTGAGTCAAGTCTGCTTGTACAGGAAAGTGAACACACAGCACAATTGCCATGTGTTCTCATAGCAACTCATTGTTTTACTCAACAAGCAGAAGAGTTGTAGATACACAACAATAGTGAAAAAAACTAAATGTGCTTCTGACATCAGAATGTCTGCAGGAAATAAAGACCAACTCATTAACAGAAAAGGAAAGACTTTATTCTTCTATTAGGAGACGGAGAGACTTTAGAGCCCATCTAATTCATCTGGATGCCATAAGCTCTTCAAACTCTGTATGTCCAGAGTCAACTCCAAATCTTCCCTCTTAAACAATTCCTTCCCCAGTCTTCCCTATCTCACTAAAAGGTGCTTACCATATACTTCATTACTCAAACTGGAATAATGGCATGATTCCGGACACCTTCATTTATTTACTTCATGCCAACATCCAATCTATCAGCAAGAACTGTCAACTCTGCCTCCAAAATATCTGCTAATCCAGCTAACTCCTTCCATCTCTCTGCCATCCTCCAATTCAAGCTGCCAGCCTCTCTAGCCTATGCTACTGCAATCATCTCCACAACAATTTCCCTGCATCTGCTTCTCTTACTCTATGATCCAGTAGTCACAGAGCAGCCCAGAGTGATCTTTAACAAATGGATAACAAATGTTACCTCCCTGCTTAAAACCACTTGAAGGCCTCCCACCACACATGAAGTAGACCACATTTCTTTAACAGACTCACAAGACCTGCTCTTACCCACCTTGCTAACATTATCTTAGGCCATGGCATTCTATTCACAACCACGCTTTGTTCGTTGAACCTGACAGTTCCATGTTCTGAATAATGAAAAGAAATTATGAAACTGAATGATCTAACAAAGTTTTGGAAAAATATTTCACAAAATGATTCTGAGGTACATATACAGTCACACTTATTGTGATGGGCATTTTGCTTCATATACTTATACACACAAAAATATTTTCTACGTAAGAATCCTAACTCCACTGTCTAAAGGGTTTTTTTTTTTTTTAATTATGCAAAGACTTATGTAGAAGCAAGCTTTTCTTTTAGCTTTTTAGAAAAACAATACATATAAGGAATATAAATATAGGCCCGGTGTGGTGGCTCATGCCTATAATCCTAGCACTTTGGGAGGCCGAGGCAGGCAGATTACCTGTGATCAGGAGTTTGAGACCAGCCTGACCGATATGGTAAAACCCCATCTATACTAAAAATACAAAAATTAGCCGGGTGTAGTGGCGGGCGCCTGTAGTCCCAGCTACTCAGGAGGCTGGGACAGGAGAATTGCTTGAACTCAGGAGGCAGAGGTTGCAGTGAGCTGAGATGGTGCCACTGCACTCCAGTCTGGGTGACAGAGTGAGACTCCGTCTCAAAAAAAAAAAAAAAAAAATATATATATATATATATATATATATATAAAAAAACTATTTTTTTCTCAGCTATAATTTTCCAAATTAGAGTTAAAATATTCTCCCAGCGTAGCAGTGTAGTTCCTTAAGATATCTGGCGGGGAAAGTGGTGATGGGGACTGGAGAAAGGTGGATATTAGAGATAAAGAGTATGTACAGTTTACTGTAAATAGGACTTTCCAGTTTACAGTGGAAAATGGCAGAAACAACAGTTGGTGGGGTAGGGAGATAGGGAAAAGAAAGAAACCAGACCACCTTCTCAAATGTTTGCAGGCATTTTCATGTTCTACAAGACTCAGGAGAAGGAGAAGCAAAATAACAGAGGGGAGGGAGAAAGGAGACTCAGGAAGGAAAAAGGAGAATTTAAGACTCATCTTGGTCTGGATCTTCAAGTTTTTGAAACACCAAATTAACCCACAATGTCACTACCCAGCAAAGTAGACACACACACACACACACACACAAAATATGCATCCACATTAGACACAAGAATAATCTCTGCAATCCCCAAAGCATACATAATGAAAGGCGGGGAAACCATCCAAGCAATGAGTGCTTTCATAGGTCCTTTGAGTTAATATTTTTATTATTCAGCTAATCGCATAAAGCTGAGATACATCTCTTGATTTCTAAGGCAATATAAAGTGACATGCAAAATCATAGCTTACCTCTTTTAAAGTATTGGGGTTAACGGGAAACCCTTTCCCCCCAGAGAGGCTGGAGTATTTCTTTTCCAAATTACAAAGATTCTCCTTTTCCTGAAGGAATACAAAACCTATTAAACTTAAAAGCCAACCTTGGATACAACTGAGAAGCACAGTGACTTTGCATTAGAGACTAACATCAGTATCTCACATATTTCCCCTCATTTTATTTCCTCTCATCATACTCAGTCAAAACTTCAAATCTGTATCCTAGCGGTCATCTTCTGCCAGCTGATATGCTGCATGAGTTGTTTCCAAACATACTTAGCTATATAACTTTTAATTCCTAATAAATTTTATAGTCATTTAAAAATGTGTTTAAAATAAAATTTTTAAAACTTTATATAAAAAATATAAAATAAATTGTATATTTTATTTTTACTTTTATATAAAAATAAAATTTTAAAAACATTATTTTCGGCCAGGTGCGGTGGCTCACGGCTGTAATCCCGGCACTTTGGGAGGCTGAGGTGGGCAGATCACAAGGTTGAGATCGAGACCATCCTGGCTAACATGGTGAAACCCCATCTCTACTAAAAATACAAAAAATTAGCTGGGCCTGGTGGCGGGCACCTGTAGTCCCAGCTACTTGGGAGGCTGAGGCAGGAGAATGGCGTGAACCCAGGAGGCAGAGGTTGTAGTGAGCTGAGATCGCGCCACTGCACTCCAGCCTGGGCGGCAACAGAGCGAGACTCTGTCTCAAAAAAAAAAAAAAAAAAAAATTATTTTCTAATGTCATTTTCTTTTAATCCTTCCAAGTAACACATAATTGTTGTTGATGATGTAATATCACATGATGTTGTTGATGACATAATATCTGATGATGTAATATCACAACCCAGTGATATATTTTCTTTTGGGAACTTTATGGTGTTAGCTTTTATGTTTGTGTCTACCATTCATCTTGAATTAATTTGGTATTAAGCAACATTTATGGGTCATTTTTTTATCATGGTATAATTTGTATACATGTCCTTGCCATGGCTGGGGCTAAAATATTTTTAATTAAAAAGATAATGTGCATTCAGTGAAATGCATAGATCTTAAGTACATAAATTTATGAGTTTTAACAAATGGAATAATATCCCAGACAAGATAAAGAGCATTTCTGTCACCCCAAACATTTCCTCATGCCCCTACCTGTCAACTTCCACCCTTTTGAGCAAGCATTGTTCTGATTTCCATGGCCTTCACACTAGTTTTGCCTGTGTTATAAAGTGTTTGCCTACTTATAAAATGTAACCACTTTATATAAATGGAATCATACAATATGCATTCTTTTGTGCCAACCCTCTTGCACTCCATGTTACAGGCATCAGTAGTTCACTGTTTTTTATTGTTGAGGAGTCCTGTCCTGTATTATATGAATATACCTAACAAGTTGCTTATTGATGGATATTTAGGTTGTTTCTAGTTTTGTTTTGTTTGCTATTATGGAAAAAGCTACTTTAAACAGTCTTGAACAAGTTTTATATGAAGACGTATTTTCATTTATATTATGTAAACATCTAGAAGTGGAGTGGTGGGTCATAGATGGGTGTATGTTAAAAAAAACTTCTACAAAGTTCTCTGAAAGGACCATAGATTTTACACTCAAGTCAGCAATGTATGAAAGTTCTAGTTGCTTCATATTCTTGTCAATATTTGAGATTTTCATTTCTTTAGTTATTTTAGTTTATGAGGCAGAATTACATTATTGCTGTAATTCATATTTCCTTGATGACTAATGATGAGTATTTTCCCATGTAACTTTTTGGTTCTTCATATATGCTCTTTTGTAAAATCTCTATTCAAGACTTTTGCCTGTTTTTTAAAAAAATTATTGGTGTATGACTATTATTATTGATGTGTAGGAGTTCTTAATATGTTCTGGATACAAGTCTTTTGTCATTTCTTTTAAAAATTTTTGCTTACTCAAGGCCATAAAAGTGTACTTTCACTCTTATATTTTCTTCTGGAAGCTTTATCATTTTAATTTTTATATTGAGGTCTCCGATATCTCTTGAATGAATTTACATATATCATATGACAATACTGAGGTTTATTTTTTTCCATGTTGACCCAGTTGATCCAGCACCATTTCTTTGAAAGATTTGTTTTCGTGCCTTTGTCAAAAATCAAAAGACAGTACGTATGTACGGGTCCATTTTTGGACTTGATAGTTCAGTTTCATTGATCTATTTAATACATGTCTATTTGCATGGCAGCACCACCCTGTCTTAAATGGCTCCAGAGTAAACCTTGAAATAAGAGTACAAATCCTCCAACTTTGTTCTCGTTCAAAGTTGTTTTGGCTATTCTAGGCCCTTTGCATTTTCATATGCAGTTGATTCCTATTATTGGTGGTAGCTATGTTCTATAATGTTGCCACGAACACTGAATTAGTGAATACTGAACCACTGCTCCTATAAAAAAACACAGGGTTGGGTTCCTGCAAGCCTCTAGTCACAACATTGTCATCAACTGATCAGTACTGAACTTTGTTTTATGTGTGTTTCTGTTTGAAGACACTTACTTAATATTATATTATATGCCATTATATAAGATATTAATATTAGCATATTGTATTATATATTATTATTTGTATATTAAGATATGTATTGCTGATTCATTAACCTTGTACTGACAGTCAGCAACACTATAATAGTGTGAGTGAAGTTCATCTAACACATATATTTTCTCCATAAGGCACTTCACAGCCTTCTTGCATTTAGGAGCACTTTACTGCACTTAATCACTATGCTTGGGAGGCATTTTATGCAGCAAATCACCAACAAAAAGCAAAAACATAAAAACACCACATTAAATAATCCACAAAAATAACACTTGTTTACAGTATGAGAGGTAAAACAAGAAGGCAGGATGCTGCCTTGCTCAGCCCCAGCTGGGAATGTGCATATTGGCCAACTCACAATTTTCACCACTCCATGCATTTCTGTGAATGACTACAAAAGTGCCACAAGTCTCGATTTAGAGGTTACAAATACATTTTAGCAAGTAGACATAATCACAAATAGAGAATCCCTGAATAATGAAGATCAACTGTAAATTTTCGCATCAACTTGTCAATTTCTAGAAAAAAGTCTGTTGGGATTTTGATTGGGATAAAAATGTCTCTATAGATCAGTTTAGAAAAATAAAAATCTTACTACTTATAGACCACAATTTTTACAATCTAATTGTATCTCATATATTTTTAATAGGAAAATATTATATCTGTGATTGTGCTTACCCATTTTATAAAATCTATCACTAAGAGTTTTTCTCTTTTTTTGGCTAAAATTTTAAATATTAAATACTATATATTACATTATCTAAGTTAAGCTGGGCCTTTGAATATTGTGTGCCAAAGGTAAAATAGTAGTGAGGATGCTAATGGAAACAGAGCATCCCCAGAGCAAGGGATAGAAAGGGAAAATACAACTCCATTCAGAAATTTCTAGGTGGGAAAAGGGGGAAGATGGAAGTTGTTAGAAATATGTGCGAGCTGCTGGGGCACCTCAAGTGGGCTCATGATTCTGTGTGAAGGACCTATTTTCCTCTCTCTTCTTTGTTTTTTGTTTTTTTTGAGACAGGATCTCGCTGTTGCCCAGGCTGGAGTGCAGTGGCATGATCTTGGCTCACTGAAACCTCTGCCTCCCAGATTCAAGCGATTCTCCTGCCTCAGCCTTCTGAGTAGCTGGGATCACACGTGTGTGCTATCATGCCCAGCTAATTTTTTGTATTTTTGGTAGACACAGGGTTTTGCCATGCTGGCCAGACTGGTCTTGAACTCCTGGCCTCAAGTGATCTGCCCGCCTCACCCTCCCAAAACGCTGGGATTGTAGGCATGAGCCACAGTGTCAGGCCTTCCCCTTTCTTCTTAACCTAAAATAGCTAAGAAGGGAATGAATACTCAATTATTTTAGGGGGGACTATGGTACAGCTTCATCCTTCAATACTTCCTTCTGGATTTGGTGTTTCTCTGCCTGCCATTCTGGGTCTATCACACATTTTCATGATCCCAAGTGCCATATTGCTAATGTAGTGGCTTAAATGCAGGGTTCAGATCTGAGACTAGCCCCATTAACTTTAACGTTTGGTGTCTTATTGCCGAAATGACACCAGGGGCCATGTCAGACAGTTAGGCTACACCTTGCTTTTCAATGTCTTTGGGCAAAGAAATCCCTTTACAGGTAGTCACTTTAGGTGCTGGACCATAAGAGGTCACAGTCTCTTTAGCGAGGATGATCTTGCCGCCCCTCGACTACACCATATGGAGTTTCTACCTACCCAATTAATTCAAACTAAACGCAACGTGACATTTGCTAGGAAGACTCGTGTACAAGTAATTGGAGTTCAAAACATCAGATCAGCTGGGCCAAAATATTTGACAGTAGTAAAAAGAACATTTTTCCTTAAGTCCACCCTAAATTGGTGTTAGAATGCATTTTAACTATTTGATGAATGGTATGACTTTTTTTAAAAAGAGGAAAATAATCATTTAAAAATACAGACTTTCCATTGTTAAGATTTTTACAATGTGAAAAAAGCATGAAGAAAACATCCTTGCTTATTTTCTGAATGGTAGTTAATAGTTCATAGTATCCTCTTATTAATGTGGAGGATTAAATTAAAAAGTATATAAAAATCTTCCTTAAATTGTATAGGCATTCACTATTAAAAGGTGTTTATTTTAAAAGGAGCAATTTCCCTAAATTTGGAACCTATGTTTTACTGTAGCCAGTGCTGAAAAGGAAATACTTACTCTTTGTAACATCATTATTAAATTATTCTTTTCTTTCACAAAATGATCTTGTTCTCTCTGAGCCTGCTGAACAATGTGATTGGCTTGCTTTTTCAATGCAGAAATTTTTTCCTGGAGGAAAAGAGATGATCATAGGAAGATGTACATTAGACACTCAAAGGTTTGCCAGTCTGTCCTAGAAAAGGGAGAAAAAAAGTTTCACAACGGGAATAACAGTGACTGCATTTTAGTTGATGGTGGGCAGTGATTATTACCAAGAGACTGTGGGGCATTTCTTTGACCTATCAGCCTCAATACTTTCTTTACTGAAGGCGAATATAGATCAACTGACTTAAAACCTATCTTGAAGAACCCAGAAGTCAACAGGAAATCTTGTTTTAGGCTATTGATGAATTTTTTACAACATCTTGGGTACACCTCATGAGAAAAAAACAATGGAATTTCTTATTTAAACTGAGAGTGTAAGAAAACACCTTCTCTTATCTTTCCTTTCCTCAATTTTATTGGTTTAATACAGAGCCCTGGGTGTGATTCTAAATTCTGGAACAAAGTTGAATTCTGGGCTGGACATCTAAGTGCTAGGGGTTGGGTGGAGTCAGTAGTAATCCACATGGCATTCTACTTCTAATGGTAATAAGCTATCAGCCAGTTCTGAGAACTACTGCGCAACGAAAACAGAGAAAAATCCAAAATAGACTTTGTTCACAGAATTATTCTGAACCCAGTTACTAGGATCGCAGAAAGAAATAATTTAAAACCAATATCTGAATTCCTGATTTTCTATGCCTTGGTTTTCACATGAATGAAACAATGAGGTATTATTCATAAATGAATCTACAGCATTATGCAACAAAAGTGTACTGTGTCTCAATTTGTCTAATTTGGAACACCACTTGCCACATACATGGCAGACTCTGTAATCTGCCAAATGTGATATTCAGACAGACATATGGCATAGCTATGTTATGCAGAAGAATATTTTGATTTTTCACATTGAATGACACCTGGCAAAAGTACCTTTCTAGAAACGATGTTCCGTTGATATTCAGCAACTTCACGCAGGAGCTGTTGAGTCAAGTTCTCCTTTTCTTCATCTAGACGGCTCTCATGTTCAAGCTGCTGGAACTCCAGGTCTTCAAAGTGTTTGCTTTCAACATCCAACAGGTCAGCATCCTTTGGAGAAAAGGGAATGAAAACAAGACACACTGAGATAACTACCACCTTCTTAATGTGAAGAAACATTTATTAAAAGCTTTGCTCCAAGATATCTTTCCAATTACAATATTGACCAGGGTTAGAACATAACACTCTCTTGGAGGTAAATCCCAGAACGTGACTACTAGAGGGACACGAAAGGGGTGTGGTGGGGTGGGCAGCATTTATCTCACCCTCAGTTTTAGATTTCTCTGTGGAGGTAAGAATTCTTGCGTTAAACCCACTGGGTGGCTTTAAAATGAAGAAGGAAATATAAAAAGAACTCAGTAAATAATCTAAACATAATCTGCAGTCCAAAGGTGTAACATAGTGTTACAAGAAAATTCTTCTTGGCCTGGCGTGGTGGGTGGCTCATACACGTAATCCCAGCACTTTAGGAGGCCGAGGTGGGGGGGGATCACCTGAGGTTAGGAGTTTGAGACCAGCCTGGCCAACATGGCAAAACCCTGTCTCTACTAAAAATACAAAAATTAACTGGACGTGGTGGTAGGCACCTGTAGTCCCAGCTACTTGGGAGGCTGAGACAGGAGAATCACTTGAGGTGGAGGTTGCAAAGAGCCGAGATTGTGCCATTGCACTCCACCCTGGGCAACAAGAGTGAAACTCTGTCAAAAAAAAAAAAAAAAAGGAAGGAAGGAAAGAAAGGGAAGGGAAGAGAAAGGAAGGGAAGGGAAGGGAAGGGAAGGGAAAGGAGCAATCTCTTCTTTTCCTCAATTTTTCATATAAAATAGGACTAATATGGAGACTAAAGAGTCAAAAGTTGGCACACGTACAGACCAGAGGTATCTAATAGGGATACATGCATCCCAGATGGCACACAACACAATCTGCTGGACTGTGCAGAAACAAATTAGACCTCTTCATACTTGTTTTTAATTGTTTATTTTCTTTTTCAGTTTCTCAACAAATGTTTTCTAACGTATACACAAGTAGCATAGTATGTATACATGATTTTAAATATATACATTCTTTGGGTATGCACACTATATATATTTATAATAATATGGATTATGTATCATATATCTACAAAGGAAACGCATGCTGTAATAATTTTATTAAAGGGATAAGCAATCAAAAAACTTTTGGACATGGGCTCTAGGTGGTGAGGATGTGTCAGTGGAGGTTTAGCAATTGTAACAATTGTACTGCTCTGGTGGAGAATGCTGATAATGAGGGGAGCCTATGCATGTGTGGGGGCAGAAGGAATGTGGGAAATCTCTGCAACTTCTGCTGGGTTTTGCTGAAAATCTAAAACTGCTCTAAAAAATAAAGTCTGTTTTTTAAAAAACTGGAAATTGAGGTTTTAAAGCCAGGGTTCCATGAACCCATTAAAAATATGTACACACCTTTTTACTGGAAAGTGTAAACCAAGCTTTTATGAGGCACAAAAGGTGACTCAAAAGGTTAAACACCACCACTCTCAGAATAATCTTGAGGACATTTAAGGAAGATTGGAAATCATGAAAATCAGATGGTCTAGAAAAAGCATTCTCTAACCTATGAGGTATTTGAAAACAGGAATATATTTATGCATCTGCATTCATGCAGAGATTGATGCGTGTTGTATAGATTCTTCTCTAATATGCTTTTTGTTTAAACACCCTCTTATTCTTGGAGTCTTTAACATGATTTATAAATGGGGTATGTTTAGGAGATTTCTTTTTCTTTTTCTTTTCCTTTCCTTATTATTATTATTATTTTTTTTGAGAAGACGGGGTCTTGCTTTTGTCACTCAGGCTGGAATGCCTTGGCACAACACAGCTCACTGCAGCCTTGACCTCCCAGGCTCAAGCAATCTTCCTGCCTCAACCTCCCAAGTAGCTGGGACCACAGGTGTACTCCACCATGCCTGGCTAATTTTTGTACTTTTTTATAGAGTGGGGTTTTGCCATATTGCCCAGGCTGGTCTCAAACTCAAGCAATCCACTCACCTCAGCCTCTACTCACTTGGATCTATTCACCTGGGATTATAGGTATAAGCCACCACACCCAGCCAGATATTTTTATAAATATAACTTATACATACTCTATGTCCAAAAGGAAGAGGCAGCTGGGCTCTGTGGCTCACAGCTCTACATAACTAACATAACCAAAGCATTTTTTGGTTGTTCTTCAATCAAATCATCAAAGAGAGGTGAATAAATAATTATATGCTAAGTTATCTCTATATCAATATTCAACCCCACCCCCACTCTGGTTTTCATATTAATGATAAAGCAAGCTTTTTGATAAAATGAAATGTATTTCTATCTTCTGCAATGACTTTTACTCTAGGGATGATTCATAGAAGAGCTATTAGCTACTGAGTAATTACAACTGATAATACATATAGCAACAAGACCATCATGTCAACACAGACTGAATTCTCAAAGCTTAAGAGCAGGAAAAACACAATTTGAAAAACATATTCAACATTTCTTAACACTTCTTTACATTTTATTTGGCTCCAAAAAAATATGCACTCAATTTCAAATGTTTGGTTGACATTTCAAGTTTATCAGACATTTCAAATTTATAACTTCTGAAAGAATTAATGAATTAAAAGAATTAAGGAATTAAGAAATAACTCAAGTGTTAGGTCTTAAAACAATATCTTCTGTTTTGAAATAATGCACTGGCTGACATATAGGCACATACACTCAAGTTTATAAGGTCTTCCAATTAAGCTTGATTTGTGGCCAAAGATTACTGAGATTTTAAAAAAAGGAATAAGCCCTTTTTCTGGCTTATAACTAATCTCCATTCAAAGTGGCCATATGGCTCTTAATATATACACTTTGCTAGTCAGTTGCTTACTCCACACATCTGGTTAATATGCAACATGTGTTATTTTAACCCTGCATGAAAGTCAAAGAATCATTCATTTATTTGTAGTAAATACTTAAACCACTGTATGAGAATAATGGCACACTAGGTAAGAAAGTTGAAAATTAAGCTAAGCTCAGCACTCAGACTCCACTGATGTAATCATCTGATCAAGTTACCTAAACCATCAAAACATGTGTATATAAACTTACATCTTAAACAAAAAACTATTAGGGAGAGAATAAAAACTTTTATAAGATTTTATGTATGAATAAGAAGTCTGGGAATGGAATTTGGGGGCAGGAATAGTTTAATTGAGCACAGAATAATATATACAGGAAGTTCAAAGTGAAGTATGTATGACTAATTGAATGAAAATTTAACTGTACTTCACTCACTAAAAGAGTGTTACAAATCTCTACTGGCTGGCAAGCTCAAAGGCCAGGCACGAAAGGACCTAAAACAGCTGCACTAAAGGAAATTCTGTGCAATTTCTTTTTTCTTTCCAGTAACTTTTAAAATAATGTATATGGCAGAAGTTTACATGCAGTTCTTTTATGTTTTCTTTGCCTGATGGAGGGACAGGAAGAAGAGAATAGATGTGGTATGACCAGGAGAAATTGCAGTAATAACAGCTCATGGCCAACTCCAGAAGCAAATTTAAATGGGACTTGGGGTTTTGTTAATTTTTACACTTTAACTACATACTTTTGGAATATGGAAAAAGACAGTTGAAATAATCTAGTCCAACCTCCTTGAGGTGATTAATACTGTCAACCTGATTGGATTGAAGGATGCAAAGTATTGATCCTGGGTGTGTCTGGGAGGGTGTTGCCAAAGATTAATGTTTGAGTCGGTGGCTGGGAAAGGCAGATCCACCCTTAATCTGGGTGGGCACCATCTAATCAGCTGCCAGAGCAGCTAGAATATAAAGCAGGCAGGAAAAAAACAAACAACAACAACAACAACAACAACAACAAAAACGTGAAAAGACTAGACCGGCCTAGCCTCCCAGCCTACATCCTTCTCCTGTGCTGGATGCTTCGTGTGTGTGTGTGTGTGTGTGTGTGTGTGTATGTGTATAGTATTACTTCTGTCCCTCTAGAGAACCCTGACTAATATACTCCTTATTTCATATATGAGGATGTTGTGGCCCATAGAAGTTGAATGACTTGTCCAAGACTAATGGATACACTGATTTTATAGCCAGTGATAGTAAAATTGTAGATCACTGAATAAAATTTTTTTAAAACATCAAGATACCAAAATCAACCATTCATTTGAGTAAATATCAAAAGCACAAGAAGACAGTTACCCAGCTGGGATAATTTTCTTGTGCTTTTGATACTAATTCAAATAAATGTTTGATTTTGGTCTTGATTAAAAAAAATTATCCAGTGATATCTACAATTAGTAGACCTTTTTTCTATCACTGGCTCTAAAATCATTTTGTCCATTAGTCTTGGACAATTCATTCAAACTCTATGGGCCTAAATACCCTCATATATGAAATGAGAAGGTAGGATGAGATTATTTCTATTATCTTTTTCCAAATGAGATGAGTTGAATGACTCATTCTCATTTAACGTCGCTTTCTTTTCTACACTATTAGTAACCCAGGGACTGCTTTGCCCATATCAAATACTAGATTGGTAAGGTCATGTTAACATACCAACCACAGGCCACAAAACTAATATCAGATGAAAATAATATTTGGACTCTAACATAACAATTTAAAGGTAGGAAGACCAGCCATAAGTCATTATGTTGCATGCACAAAATCATTCTACAATTTCAGCTTCAGTATTCAAGGCCATATGCAGTTTAATAAAATAACTTTCTTCTTATTCATTTATTTTTTACTTTGTGTGACTTACCACCTAATGAAGATATTTATAATAAAATAAACTTTATTAAATCTAGTTAAACGCCCAAGGAAAAGCTTTGTAGTGAAGTCACATTCTGAAGTGTTTGAAGTCTAAAGGGAGATAAGTAGTGATAACACAGAAAGTTCCTAAAGTGAACTTTAGGACTTACTTCTCATGAAGTAAGTGAACTTTTTACTGATTAAGCCAAGGCATTGGTGAAGAGTTATACTGGTCGTCATCCTTGAAAAACAATTAGTAGACCTCTTACTATCAGGTGAACTGCAGCCATCACAAGCCAGCTCTCTCTCCTAAGGAAAGAGGTTTTATAAGAATTTTACACACTGTTTGGAGAGGAAAGGGAAGAAGTCTCTGCCTTCAATTAATGGAAAAGACTGTCTGCATCATTTCCTTTCCTCTTTCGTAGTCAAAATCTTTGCAACATACAACTCATATTATGAGTTATCTTACAGAATCTAGATTAAGCTAAACAGTATTTATATTACTCATAATCCAAGTTGTGAATGGAATCTATCAATTTTTATGTGGAGCAATGTTGATAAAAACACAATAAATGGATAACCAGAGGAAGGGAAGGACAAAATACACAACAATGCTGCTGACTGTAAATAAGGAATTACAATGACTGTGTAAAATCTTTAGTGATAAGGAGAGTTAAAAAACAGTAAGCAAATATTTAAAGAATTAGTTTTCCCATCTCTTTTGTTAACTAGCATAAACACAAACAAATTACAAACTAAAATTACAAATACTAGTTTTCTTCCAATCATTTTTATCATAAAATTTGCAGAGAATTGTGACTGAGAGGCAGGAAGTTTTACCTTCTTACAACAAATTCAGCTGTACACAATAAAAGGAGTAAAGGGAATACATGTAAAACTTTTTTGCTCCAACATTGTAAGAAATAAATACTAAAACTATTATGCTGCAGTTTAAACAGCTGCATTGGATTATCATTATTAAGATGCTCTCAACTTCTGCAATACATTGAAAAGCTTTAACTGTTATTTTTTCACCTAGCAATGTTCTCAGAGGTAGCAAATATTTTTGTATTAAAGATCATCTTAAGAATGTTTAAGGATGTGCTATCTCAAAAAACTTTTCAACCTCCCCATTCCCAAGAAGGTACAAACACAATAATATGGATGAAACTAGCTTGTTATACTCAGGTAGAATCATAAATTGCTACTCACTTAGGACAAATTACTATTATGTGACTCTTTCAGATATCCAAGACTGTTAACGACTGCTTCCCCAGAGGGAAGCAGTTTACTGGGGCTGCTGTTCAAAGGAAATGACCCAGTTGCCAAGAGGCTATGAAATATTAAGTGGCTGCGCCAGTGTTTGTGAAACTATCCACCTAGGAAGTCTTGCTTTCAGAAGATAACCAATGTGGTTGTGTTAAACACTGCCAACCTTAAAGATCGGAGAATAACTTGATAAAGCTTAACTAGAAAGTCTATGCTGCATTAAGTTCTTAAAAATTATGAAGCTCACATGAGATGTTGGGGGCATTAGTGATGCCCCACATCTTGGGTCTTGGTATTTAATTGTTGTGATTGGGCTAATTAGTTCAATGTCACTAACCAGCAGAAAGAAAAGGAAAAACAAAAGAACAGCTGCTGGTGGGGAGCAAATCAGAAAATAGGATAATTTGGGGACAAGAGTCTAAAATCAAGCTAAAGAACAAAACATTCAAGGGTAAATAGGATTCATGATGCAGCAGAGAATGCAGGGGAAGAGGTCAGTTAATACAAATGCTACAATGTTGATGTTGGTTACAAATCAGAAATAGCTTCTTTTGTCACAGACACATAAAAAATGACTCCAGAAATAGTTTTGCATTATAAATTAGGAGAAGGATTCTAACAAGGAATTTTAAAAAACTGATCAGCATGGAATAATATATACTGTTAGCATGCATATTTCCATTTAAACATATCTAATGACTAGAACTTATGCAAACTTACGCTATATGAAGTAGTAAGTCACAGGTAAGTGGCACTTAAGTGAAAAACAAAAACGAAAAGCAAAATAACTGGTGCATTCCTGTTTGCTACTGACCCTCTTCAGTTGTTGTTGTAACTGTTCCCTCATGGACTCAGGACAATTGTCCAGCTGGGTCTTCTGCTCGGAGTAAAGCTCCTGAAGCCTCTCTAGTTTTTCCCTTTCAGCATCAAGCTTTACCTTCTCCTGAAGTTCAGAAACCAGAAAATAGAATAGAAATTACCTTCACACCCCAAGCAGGTGCTAGTGAACATTTCTCAAGGATAACACAAACAAACATACACGAACTCTGGACATTCTATGAATGTAGAAACATATCTTGTTAGTGGCTAGGATAAAGGGATATAAGCGGAAGTTAAGACAAAGGGACTGGGTTTCTCTATTCTCAAAGCACAGTCCACTTCATGGCAATGACTCCCGCTTTCCTTCCCTCCCTCCGTCCTGCTACCATGTTACAAAAGCAGGGGAAGCAATGGTCATGTTGAGTGTTGGTCACTGGCCAACAATAAAAGAAATGCCAAGCAAATTCATAAGCAAGACTTGCCAAGAGTCACCTGTCAGAGAACCAGACAAAGGAAAGAGGGCATTTGCCTCAAGGACTGTCATAGCCTAACTTGCTCAAGGCCTTCGCATGGCAAGTTTTGGAATTTCTTGGTTTTGTTCTCAGGTTAGAGGAATTCTAGGTGTATTAAATTACAGCCCCATCATCTGAAACAGTTCTAGCTATTTGGAAAACTTCAGAATTTACAGAGTTAGAAAATCTTAATCCAGAGAGATTATTCAAAGACTGAGAGAGCTAGTAAAACTGCAAGACAGACAAAGCAGCAAGAGGGAGGCATAGGCAGCTCAGACACACCAAAAACGTGACAGGGACTGTGGAAATACAGACTTTCCCACAATGACTGACACACAAATAAACTGAAACACGGACTGTGAAAAAAAGAAAAGAGTCAGAGAAGAAAGGAGAAGGAAGAGAATACTAAATCCCTTCCAAGTCACATGTGCCAATGAGACCCTGGACATTCCCCAGGACATAATAGGCAAATACTCTAATACAGTGATTACACAGCCTTACAATGCTACCTCTTAAATTAAGAAACAAAACTTCAGTTTGTTTGGTGCCAGTCTTCCCAACCTGTGTTCTTTTTATGATGCTCTGAACACTTGAAACAAATTTTAGATGTGTTTTCTCCTTGTGTAACACCATCAGCCTGAACAAAAGCACTTTATGAAGCACTTTGACAATCTGACCTTTGGTAAGTGAAATGACCCCCACTTTCCCTTCCTTATATTCTTTTCATATAAACTGGCAGGAACAAAACTAGCTTCTAAGCACATCACAGAAGGACTCTTTTTAAGGATTTTCCTCCGAAATAGTCCTATGAAATTATCCTTACTACATTTTATCAAAATGGCCATGATTTCTTATGTATAAAAGACGTTACGGTCCAAATCTAAAACTACATGACATCAATACCAGTTCACTTGAGTCTCCATTTTTGACTTAAATTTAGAAATGTACATTTGGCTTTAGAAATGTAATTATCTTAAAATAATTAAATTCAGAAGTCATAAACCTGAGACCCCTACTTCATGTATCAATCTAACATGGTTCTGTAACAACTTAAAACTTTAACAGACTACAAAGAAAATTTCTTTGATCTTCAATGGTTAAGTTTGCTCACTGTACACACCAACTGTGCAAGAGTTGGAGAAAGCAATGGCATTGTTAACAGAAGAAAGGATGCCCACGTGTGCTAATCCATAGTAAAACTGAATATACTAGCACCGTTAGATTTAGTCTTTAGTTTCAGAATTTTTTTTTTCCCTAATAAAACCAGCAATATAGAATACTTGTTGTCCTTTGGCTAAAAAAAGGTGTTCTTTCCTATGTGTGTGCATCAAAGATTGCCCTATTTACACAGCAAAATAATTTTATCCCAAGAGTTCTATTTCTAGGTACTGCATCGCCAGTTTGCAGCAACTCTACTTACAAATGGAAACCTAAAAAGTAATTAAAAAAAGAAGACGACTATGCATCATAATTTAACAGCACACGTATAAAGCCCTAAAATTTAAAGTTATCTTCGATAGAAAACACTGAAACGATATTTGATAATACGGAAAGCCACTGGCCTAAAACACAGGTCTCAAATCTGAAGAAATAACAAAAGTATTCCTGATGCTCTCAAATGTTTGTATTGTGAATAATAAACTCAAATCAACAACTAATAAAAAAAATCTTTCATGCCTGTAATCCCAGCAATTTGGGAGGCCAAGGCGGCCGGAACACGGGTCAGAGAAGATCGAGACCATCTTGGCTAACACAGTGAAACCCCGTCTCTACTAAAAAATACAAACAACTAGCCAGGCAAGGTGGCGGGCGCCTGTAGTCCCAGCTACATGGGAGGCTGAGGCAGGAGAACGGCGTGAACCCGGGAGGCGCAGCTTGCAGTGAGCTGAGATCCGGCCACTGCACTCCAGCCCGGGCAACAGAGCGAGACTCTGTCTCAAAAAAAAAAAAAAGTACAACAACAACAACAACAAAAAAATTAGCCCGGCGTGGTGGTGGGTGCCTGTAGTCCCAGCTACATGGGAGGCTGAGGCAGGAGAACGGCGTGAACCCGGGAGGCGCAGCTTGCAGTGAGCTGAGATCCGGCCACTGCACTCCAGCCCGGGCAACAGAGCGAGACTCTGTCTCAAAAAAAAAAAAAAGTACAACAACAACAACAACAAAAAAATTAGCCCGGCGTGGTGGTGGGTGCCTGTAGTCCCAGCTACTCAGGAGGCTGAGGTACGAGTATGGCGTCAACCCAGGAGGCAGAGCTTGCAGTGAGCCAAGATCGCATCACTGCACTCCAGCCTGGGTGACAGAGCGAGACTCTGTCTCAAAAAAAAAAAAAAAAAAAAAAAAAAAATTCTTACATTTAAATAGCGCCTTACTTCCAAGGTGCTTAAAACGTTTCATAATTCATGCAAGGGGTCATCTAGAAGAATATGCAATCAAGCACTATTAGAACTTTCTGCAGCTTCTCTGTTTATCAGTAATGCTGTGACCACTACCTGGGTCCCAGAGCAAAAGCTCAGTGGGGCCAAAGCTAGGGCAAAGGAAGTAAAGGGGAAGGATGAAAGAACACCAGTGGCAGGTGGGCCCAGCTGTAAATCACAGAGGACCGCAGAGGTGATATAACTCCTGTGAGTGCCAGAAGTAGACCAACTTTGAGCCAGAAAGAAATTAATATTCCTCTATTCTATTTATTGCCCAGGAAGTTGTTAAAGGAAAATTAGCTCTAGGCAAGCAGTTAATTAGAGCTGAAAGTTTCACCTTCTACAGTGAATGTAAAATAGATGGCATTTGAGGGTTTAGGGATTCTTGCTTTTTAAATGCAAAATACTAAGATTGAGGTTATTCCATTTCTCCATATTTAAATTGGTAAACTCACCTATTCTAACTACAATAGGCACAATAATATTTTACAAATACCAAATTGGGAGAGAATATAACTTTTTAAAAAAGATTCATAAATGTACTTTCAGGAAAAAAAATGAATTCTTTTTTTTTTTTTTTTTT